TAGAAAACAGGTCTGGGTTTCAGACTCACTGAGCAGAATTCCCAAAAACAGCCGCTGTGGGGACTCCGGGAGCCCAGTGACTTTGCCTGTGGTGGGCGTGCCAAGGAAATGACCTTGGCTGGCCCAGTCTTCCCACCTACAGTGTCAGAGCCTGACTTCTCTCAGGAACTGCCTCAAATCCTGTCCCCCTTCTCCAGGCCTCCATTCAGCCCCCAAGGTGCAGCTGTCTTGTGCTTCTGCCTTCGTGGCAGCTGGGCCAAAGGCAGCTGAGCAGAGAAGGGCGAAGGGACATGGTCATTTCTGTCACTCAGGACAGCCTTCCCCTGGCTGAGCAGCTGTCAGGGTGGCTTCTGGGTTATAGATTGGCTTCCTCACCCACGTATGCACTCTGCCCTTGGAAACCAAGCTCCCTAATCTAGCCAGCACCCCACCTCCCATTTCTTCTTTTACTTGAAGAAGAAAAAAATATTATGAGACTTCTCCGACAGAAAGACATAGGAGATGGGTTCCAGGCAGAGAAGCGAGTAGCTTCTGGAAATACACCAGAAAGCCCACAGTGGATGTGGCAGTTTCTTCCCTATATGGGACTTCTGGGCAGAACAGAAAACTAAGGGATTCTGGCCTCAGTTCTGCCATCAAGCCTGAGAAGGAGGCATAGCATTTTCCTGCCCCCATTTTATAGGCAGAGGTCGCAATCTGCCCAGGTCTCAGGCGACCAGCAGGACAGTATCCCTCTGCCCTGAACTTCCAGGTGCATCCCAGCCTGTCCTGGGGTGACCAGTTGCCCCAGTTTGCCCAGGGCTGAGGGCGTTCTCAGGATGCAGCACTTTCCATGGAATTAGGAAAGTCCTGGGTAAACCCTGATGAGTTGGTCAACTTAGCTTGTCCCCAAAATAGCAAGTCTGGGCTAGAGATCATCAGCCTCCTATCCTACTCTGAACTTGAACGAGGTACCATCTGACAGGAAAAGAAGCCGTGCGGTGAGGGTCAAGCTGCTATGAAATGCCTCCTGAGGTGCCCTGTCCCATTTCTAGCATCTCTGCTTCATTCTTTTAACAATTCCCTTTCCTCTCAACTACCAGTCTCTGTACAAAGCAAGAGAAAATAAGAAAAGTGGGAGAGATGGTTCCAGGTTTCCTTTCTTTTAAAAAAAATGTTTATTGATTTCAGAGAGGAAGGAAGAGGGAGAGAGATAGGAACATCAATGATAAGAGAGAATCATCAATTGGCTGCCTCCTGCACACCAACTGCAGATCGAGCCCACGATGCAGGCATATGCCCTTGACTGGAATGGAACCCAGGACCCTTCAGTCTGCAAGCCGACACTCTATCCACTGAGCCAAACCAGCTAGGGCTCCAGGGTTCCTTTCTGACAGCTCATACCCTAGGATTCTGTTAACATCCCCATGAATGCAGAGCCTCTCTGTGTTCCTCCTGGGCTCTGGAATTTTGTCTAGGAAATCTACATGAGCAAACCATCCCCATGGCTCAGGAGCCAACAGGAACCTGGCTGTCCCATCTCCCAGGGGCTAAGTGACATGTCACCCTGAAGATACTGAAATCTGCCTTAGGTATCACTGAGACGGCCTCCTCTAGTTTCTGGCCTATTTTCCAGAGTTGGTTTCTTGCATAATTGATAGATATAGCAGGGAGTAAAACACCTTGTCCACTGACAGCCTGGGAAGTCACATCCAAGGGCAAGTAGGTTAGGTGGCTTGAGGACACAGGCTCTCGAGGCCAGGGTAGCCCCATCCCATCAAGAGCTATTTTATTCCATAGAATTCCCCAGGGCTGTGTGAGAAGACAGCTCCCACTGACCCCATAGGGCACCCTAAGGACCTTCCTGTTGAGCTTTGGCTAGTTCTGCTATGAAAAACAACAACTAACAAACAAAAAAACCATCAGGCCCTAGCCGGTTTGACTTAGTGGATAGAGCGATGGCCTGCGGATTGAAGGGTCTCAGGTTCTATTCCAGTCAAGGGCACATGTCTGGGTTTTGGGCTTGATCCCCAGTAGGGGGTGTGCAGAAGGCAACCAATCAATGATTCTCTCTCATCATTGATGTCTCTATCTCTCTTTCTCTCTCTCCCTCTTCCTTCCTCTCTGAAACCAATAAAAATATACTTAAAAAACAAAAACTATCAGGAATGTGTCCCTCAGTCCAGCATAATCACCTCTGGGAAGATTCCAGCCCCTAATGTCCCAATCCAAGGATGAGAAACATCTGTCCACCCCACCCCTTAGACAGGAGGGTCTTGAGGAGTTTGGAAGGAAACTGACACAGAGAGATGGGCTGAATCATGCTCCATTCCCAGCTGCAGACCCTGTAAAGCTCAGAAATAGACATGCTGCAGTCCACGAGCCAGGCCAGGCGCTGTGGCTGGGCCATGAGAGAATTCCTGGCTGGGAATGGAATCTGGACCAGACTCTACCGTCAACCATTCCCAGATCAGAGTAAACAGAGCCTTGGACACCAGCACCACAGAGTCTCCATCCGACAGGACCGCCTGTGGCCCTGCAGCTTCAGGGGCAGGCTGGGGAAGACCTAGCTCTCTCACTTTGTGAGCACAGTACCTGGCCCACCTCCATGCCACTCCACTCCCAGAGAGCCAGGAAGACTGGCAGGCCTAGCTGCCTGCCCGTTTTCTCTTCCCAGCTTCTGGGGAGCAGCTCTGCTACTGCACAGGGCTGGAGAGCTGCAATTATCCAGACAGGATAAGAGCTATTTTGGGAAGGAGCTGTCCTGCTGCCAAGGCATTTGACTTCCTAAACTAAAACAAGATGGGGCAGAATAGGGAGGAACTTGCTCAATCAAAAACATCATATCCTGAAATAGAGGAAATACCCCTTCCCAAAGGTATAGATCTGCATCAAGGGGTGAGCAAGGGGTTAGCTTGTCGAGATACCGCCCCCACCCCTGACTTTGGGAAGGAGGGGGGAAACCTGACCCCATCCAATTCCCGGCTCACTCCCTCTCTCCTAAGACCATCCAAGAGCCTCTATTAAGTCTGTTGCATTGACTTGGACATTTGAGTGCAGACTATTTCATATTGTTGTTTCCTGTCCACCTCTTATCTCCCCATCCAGATGGTAAGTTCTTCAAGGCCAAAGAATGTGTGTGCTATGGGGCTTCAACGCTTCCCCCAATAGTGCCTAGAAGAGTGCTAGGCATCTGAATAAAAATTGTTTGTGGAAGGAAGGGAGAGAGAAAGGGAGGAAGAGAAGGATTTACTGTCTTGCATTGAAATAATCTCTAAAAGTAGCTGCTCCCACCCACAGCTGAGCTCAGGGAGCAGGGCTGGATAAGAAGCCATGGCAGAGGGGGTGGCAGCCACATTTCTGGCACCTCCGCTGCAGCTGTTCCGTTATCTAAGCTCAGGCTGTCCTGCCCCTCCCCCCACTTGTTCTTCATATGTAGTAGTCAACTGTCCATCCTGGGCTAGCCCATAGATGAGACCCATTAGAGGCCATGCTAGGCTTTGGGGAAGAGAGAAAGGTGAGAGAGAATGGAGGTAAGAAGAGCTTGGACTATCTTATCAAACATGGGCCAAGAAGAGCTAAAGTACTTAGGGGAGCAATGCACTATGAAATCAGGACACTGCCAAATTCAGGACACAGGGCTGCTGAGAGCAGAGTTCACCTTGTGGCTCTCCAAGGTGAGGACTCAAATAGTGTGTAACCCAGAAAAGCGTCCCCTTTCTGGAGTGCCCTAGGCTGGAGAGGGGAGAGCCAAGTAGGGACCAATTCAACCTATGGCTTCCCAGACAGCCTTCCCACAGGATGCTTGACAGGATTCATCACTTGCCAGCAGGTTTCTGCCCTTTCTCTCCAGGGCTGCAAATTCTCCTTTGGGGAGATGCAGCCCTGGAGGAGCACAACTTGGCAAGTGGAACGCAGGCTAGATTTTAGCCCCCACTTGCCTGCTCTGCCAGGTGCCCTTGTGCAGCTAACACCTGACCAACAATAGGGAGCAGCTTTCATTAGAGGGTAAGACAGGGACTTGGGTAGGGAGAGCACAGGAAGTTACCAAAAGTAACTTCCTAGGGGCATTCTTACCTCCTCATCTGTCATAATGGAGATGTAGAGGCCAGGCATTCCCAGTGGGCAGCAAATGGAAATCAGAGAGTGCCAACAGGAAGGGAAAAAGAGAATTTTACTGAAGATGTGCGGTGGACTCGGCCATTACCTGGCCCAAGTCCCCTCCTAGTGCAAGTGGCCCAAATGACAACAGCTAGCATTTGCTGAGTGCTCACCATTGCCAGGCACCATACCACGCTAAGTGTTTTACATGCCTGCTATTCTCCAGTGACTACTTCCCATTATAAGGAAACTCTTGAACATGAAAAAGGTTCCAAGTCCCAAAGGAATAACTAATGGTGGCAAGATAAGAAGTTCCTCTGTTCCTTCAAGTCAAAGCCCCAGCATGCACCATGACCTAACAGACCTAGCTCTGTACATACATCAAGGCTACCCTCCCACCTGTCCTCCTGCCTCCCAAACCCCCACAATGAACCATGGGAGGGAAAAGCACAGACCTTTTAGCCACCAGATGACACGATTGTACATTTCCTCAGAGACATCTGAAAGTAACAGAGATGGGTGTGTTTTCTCTCTCTCTCTCTCTCTCTCTGTGGGATGCACACTCCCTGCCCCTCGCTACTTCACATCTCCCTTTCTAGCTCCACATTTCTCCACCAAGAAGAAGGAGCTCTCCAAGAAGCTCCTCCTGTCTGGGGCTAAATGTCACACTCCCACTCTCCCTCTCCCTTTTCTCCCAGCCTCTGTGCCACTGTTAATGCCTTGCCCCTCTTGGAAGGCTCATCTGTGCCTCACCTTTGTTTCCAGAATATGTACTAGAGGACCTTATTCTCTTTACTAGCTCTTACCAGCCCTCACCCCAGCTCAGTACTTCATGTCCACTCTCAGGAAGCAGCTTCCCCACCCTGCAAACCACTCTCTACTACCTTCCATTGAAAGGTTAAGCGCGTTGCCTGGAAGAGTCAATGCCTGACGCCGACCCAAGCATCGTCATCGATGTCATTAGCTTGGAGCTCAGAGAAGCTGGCGGGGAAGGAGTGGAGCAATGGGCTCAAGGATGGGTCTAGCTTTGGCACTGGCAGGAGAGTAGCTCTAAGGCCCAGAATGAAGAGGGGGCCTTCCCTGCCATGTCCCACCTCACTAAATCGGGGTTGCACCTGGGCAGTCTGCTTCTTCACATACCCAAGAAGAAAGCACTAAACCTTTGAATGGGTTGTTTGGAGGTGTGCTTGGGAGCCTGTGGCACTTCCCTCAATGGTGCCCAGCTTGGAGGCTCCGTTGCTGATTGTAGTGGTGGTGGTGGTGGTGGTGGTGATGTTGCTGGTGCTGGTGGTGGTGATGGACTTGCCTTCTCTCGCTGGAGCAGCAGATCGTCACAGAAAGGGCTTGAGTCCATTTCAAAAAAAGACAATGAATAGTCTGCAGGAAGCGGGGATTTAGGCTCCAAATCAGGTGATGTTGGCCGGCTTTGAGGCATTTCAATGTCAGGATTGAGTAAGGGCCACCATGAGCAGTCAGGCCCATACCTAGGTAAGGACCGAGGGGGTAGGGGCCGAGGGGTCAGTTCCACTTTTGCATGAGCAGAGTGACTTGGGGAGGGTGCTGGGGACATGTAGACATTTTCTGAGGGTTTTGGGGTACGCTGCTTACTGACAGGCTCAGGAGATTTGTGGGGGCTCTCAGACACTGTCCGAGGTGTCACATGGTGAGTTGGCTGTACTCCTGAGTATATGGTGACTCTGCGGCTGACCTCCTTATCTCCTCGCATTGGGGACTTCATGTTGGCCTCCACTTCTGATGACATCAAGACTTTTGGGGAGGGCTTCGTTTCGGTGTGGGCAGACTGCTTACGGATAGATTCAGGGTCTAGACGCATAGAAACTCGGTGTCCACCATCCAAATCTTTAAGGATAGAGAGTCTGAGGGATGGTTCCACGCTCTTGTTCCTATGCAAGGGCTTGGGTTCTATATAAATTGAGTTGTAGGGACCCATTTCATAATCTTGGTCAGGGATCCTTCTCTGAGCTGTCTGAGGGTCTGCATAGGTGCAGCTGTAAAGATTCGTCTCAGACTCTTGGTCCGGGATCCTTCTCTGAGCTGTCCGAGGGTCTGCATAGGTGCGGCTGTAATAATTCGTTTCAGACTCCTGGTCAGGGATCCTTCTCTGAGCTGTCCGAGGGTCTGCATAGGTGCGGCTGTAATAATTCATCTCAGACTCTTGGTCAGGGGTCCTTCTCTGAGCTGTCTGAGCGTCTGTGTAAGTGCGGGTGTAATAATACGTTTCAGACTCTTGGTCCGGGGTCCTTTTCTGAGCTGCCTGAGGGTCTGCATAGGTGCGGCTGTAATAATTCGTTTCAGACTCCTGGTCAGGGATCCTTCTCTGAGCTGTCCGAGAGTCTGCAGAGGGGCGGCTAGAGCTGCGTTCCGGGCTGGAGGCTTTCCTTGGAGATCTGTTCACAGTAAAAGTCATACTCTTTCGGGTGGGCTCAGTTTGGACTGCTTCATCCTTTGGGCAAACCAAAGGCCTACGGGGAACTCTGACCCCTTGTGGGTTCTGGACCTTGGAGGGTGGGTCTTCTGGTAAGATTTGTGTATTATCCTTCTGGTCTACAAAACTCAACCGGCGAGAGGATTTGACATTTGTGGTTGAGTAACGATTCATGTCATGCCCTCCCTTGCTCTCAGCCCTTTTTCGTGGGGATTCCTCTTTGTGAGGACTACTAGTCCGCTGCACCTGAACAGCATAGGAAGATGATGGCTGAGTTTGCTGGATCTTTTGGTGAAGAGAGGAATGGTGATATGCGTCTGATTTTGATCGGCTCTCAGTTCCTCTAGAGATGGGTGCTCCAGAGAAGCTGCTTCCTGGGAGGCTAAAGCGATGATCGTCTCTGGGAATGATGGACTGCCCGGGTTCTGATCTTCGATGGATAGGAGGGCTCATGGTGATTACAGCACTTCGATGGGTTGAGGCAGCAATGGACCCACGTCCCTGATGAGGGGTTTTGCTAGTTATCTCAGCCCCTTTCTGTGTTGAAACTGTTACCTTAGTCCCAGTTTTATTGGTCTTGACCATTTGATAGGTGGTGCCCCTCTGGGTAGAACCCATATTTTACCGGCTGGCTTGGATTCAGGATCCTAATGAAGCCTGAATATGTACCCTCAGTTTTAAAAGCTGTTCTTGCACTCCCACAAAAGTGGCTGTTGTTCTAAGAGTGTCTCAAATAGTCCCCTTAGCTACCTGCCTGGTGATGTCACAAAGGAAGGAGCGTCCTATTAAACATCCTGGCAAACAGCCACAATTCTTCAGCGAATCTCAAGCAGTGACTGCAAGGAAACTCGATGTCTTTGGAGTTGACATCAGCAAGGCTTTGACTAAATTCTTAGCAAAATCAGGATTTCCTGGTGTATAGGAAAGCACCATGCCCTCCCCTACTCTCCTGAGATTCCGTAAATTCCCAGAGACTCATCCAAGGCAAGGCTATTCAATCAATCATGCTGTGTTAGCCCCAGTCTTAATTAGGTGCAAGGTCCAAATTTGTCCCAGTTTGGTTTGGAACTACACTGTATACAAGTAAAGAATATAGAGTACAACCTTTTCCAGGTTTTGTGGGTGGTTTGGTTGACCCAGGGGTAAAAATTCAAGGTCATAAATTCTCACATTCTTGGCTCAGGAGTAAGGGTAGGATTTGCAGAAGGGATTTGGAGTTATTCATTGGTTTCAGTCATAAGTGGCTACTTGTGCACAAGTTACTTGGCTTGCCTGAGCCTTGGTTTCTTCATCTAGAAACCACTGTCTGGTAGGTGGGCATTGCATAATGCTAGTGCCCTTTCTCACGATCCTCCTCTTAGCTATCCTGATCTGCTGGACCTCTGGTTCTTTCTTTATTTGAAGAGTGACTTTCCAACTTGAATATCCATTTTGGATAAGCAAGAGTCATCTTTCCCTTTCACAAGTTTCTCTTTGTGTCTTTGTCTGTCTCTCTCTCTTTCTGACACAGACCCTACCATATCCAACATCTATTTCCCTATTGACTCTGAAGGGTCATCACAGTTCTGATATGGTCAGATTCACTGTTTCTGGGTCTTTAAATTCAGTCTAGAGACAAAGATGAAACAAAACCCACACATTTTTAGGTAGTGGGGATCTCAATAGATTGAGAAACTTTGAGCTACTGATACAAAACCTTAGAATGTAAAACATTAGGCTAGTCACTATATATATATATTTTTTTTTAATAGAAAAGGATAAAAGTAGGAGAACCTTTATAAGTCAGATATTTTGAAGATACTACAGGTAAACCAGGTTGAAGTAAAGATTGTTCTTATTAATTTACTAGAGGCCTGGTGCATGAAACTCATGCACGAGGAAGGGGTCCCCTCAGCCCAGCCTGCACCCTCTCCAATCCAGGACCCCTCATGGTCTCCGGGATCGGGCCTACACCGGCAGTCGGACATCCCTTTCACAATCCAGGACTGCTGGCTCCTAATCGCTCGCCTGCCTGCCTGGTCGCCCCTAACTGCCCCCACTCCTGCCGGCCTGATCGCCCCTCACTGCCTCTGTGTGTCGGTTTGATCGCCCTTAACTGCCTCCCCTGCCGGCCTGGTCACCCCCAACTGCCCCCCTCTGCCAGCCTGGTCACACCTAACTGCCCCCCTGCCGGCCTGGTCACCCCCAACTACCCCCCCCACTGGCCTAGTTGCCCCTCACTGCCCCCCCGACAGCCTGATTGCCCCCAACTGCCACCCCTGCTGGCCTGGTCACCCCCAAACTTCCCCCACTGCCAGGTTAGTTGCCCCATGCAGCCTGCTGTTCAGTTGTTTGGTCATCCCTCACTAACCCCCTGTCGGCCTGGTCACCCCACGCAGCCTGCTTGTTTAGTCATTTGGTCATCCCTCACTAATCCCCTTGCCAGCCTTGTCGTAGGCAGCCATCTTTGTGAGGGCGTGAGGGTCAATTTGCATATTACCACTTTATTATATAGGATAGTTATTTGTTAGCTTATCATAAAATTGAGACTGGCTTACTTGAACAAAGCTTTCCTATGAGATTCTACTTTAAATAAGATGGTTTACTGATATATAACCTTTAACCATGACACTATAATGTGTATTTGTTGAGTTTTAGGAGTTCTCTATGTTTTCTGATTAATCCCTCATCAGATATGTGGTTTTCTTTTTCTTTTTTTTTAATTAAATCTTTATTGTTCAGATTATTACAGTTGTTCATCTTTTTTCCCACCATACCTCCCCTCCACCCAGTTCCCACCCCACCCTCTGCCCTCACTCCCCACCCACTGTCTTCATCCATAGGTGCACGATTTTTGTCCAGTTTCTTCCCGCATCTCCCATTCCCCTTTCCCCCCCAAGAATAGTCAGTCCATTCCCTTTCTATGTCCCTGATTCATTATAATCACCAGTTCATTCTGTACATCAGATTATTTATTCACTTGATTCTTAGATTCACTTGTTGATAGATGCATGTTTGTTGTTCATAATTTGTATCTTTACCTTTTTCTTCTTCCTCTTCTTAAAGAATACCTTTCAGCATTTCATATAATGCTGGTTTGGTGGTGATGAACTCCTTTAGCTTTTCCTTATCTGTGAAGCTCTTTATCTGACCTTCAATTCTGAATGATAGCTTTGCTGGATAAAGTATTCTTGGTTGTAGGTTCTTGGTATTCATCACTTTGAATATTTCTTGCCATTCCCTTCTGGCCTGCCAAGTTTCTGTTGAGAAATCAGCTGACAGTCGTATGGGTATTCCCTTGTAGGTAACTGAGTTTCTTTCTCTTGCTGCTTTTAAGATTCTCTCTTTGTCTTTTGCTCTTGGCATTTTAATTATGATGTGTCTTGGTGTGGTCCTCTTTGGATTCCTTTTGTTTGGGGTTCAGATATGTGGTTTTCAAATATTTTTTAAAATATGTTTTTATTGATTTTTAGAGAGGAAAGGAGAGAGAATATAGAAACATCATTGGTCAGCTGCCTCCTGCATGCCCCCTACTGGGGATGGAGCCCATGATCCGGGCATGTGTTCTAACCAGGAATTGAACCAGCAACCTCTTGGTTCATGGGTCGATTTGCAAATATTTTCTCCCATTCTATGGGTTGCCTTTTTACTCTGTGGATAGTGAAATTTTAAATTTTCATGAAGTGCAACATATCTACTTTTTCTTTTGTTGCCTGTGCCTTTGGTGTCATATCCAAGAAATCATTGCCAAATCCAATGCCATAAAGTTTTCATCCTGTTTTATTTAAGAGTTTTATTGTTTTTGGTCTTACGTGTAGGTCCTTGTTCCATTTTGAGTTAATTTTTGTATGTGGTGTTAGATAAGGGTCCAATTTCATTCTTTGCATGTGGACACCCAGTTTTCCCAGCACCAATTGTTTAAAATATGGTCCTTTCCCCAAGGTCTTGGTACCCTTGTCAAAAATCACTTGGCCACATGTGAAAGGGTTATTTCTGGATTCTCTTCTATTGTGTTGATCTACAGGTCTGTTCTTATGCCAATATCGTATTGTTTTTATTATTATAGTTTTGCTACCAGGAAGTCTGAGTCCTCCAGTTTTGTTCTTCCTTTGCAAGATTATTTTGGCTATCCAGGGTCCACTAAACTTTCATAGGAATTTTAGGATTGGGATTTTGATATTAAATCTGTAGATCACTTTGGGTAGTACTGACATTTTAAAAATATTAAGTCTTCCATTATATAAATATGGGATGTGTTTTCATTTATGTCATCTTTAATTTCTTCCAGCAATGTTTTGTAGTTTTCATAGTATAAATGTTTCATCTTTTTGGTTAAATTAATAAGTATTTTATTATTATTGGATGCTTTGTAAATGTTGTTTTTGTACTTTCCTTTCAGATTGTTCATTGTTCATGAAAATGCAACTGATTTTTGTGTATTGCCTTTGTATCCTGCTACTTTGCTGAACTCATTTAGTCTAACAGGTTTTTTTGTGGAATACTTAGGGTTTTCTACATATAAGCTCATATAATCTGAAACTAGATAATTTTTCTTCTTCCTGTCTGCTGTGGTGGTTTCTCTCCCAATAATTAAAATTAACACATCTTACACAGCTAAAAGCTAACTGCTATTAAAAGTAAACATTTTATTACCTAACAGAAGTACAAGTTTTCAAAAATCTATGTCAATAAAACCAAAGCCATTCTGAACACAATGAGAGATTTTTACAGTCAACAACACTACCTTTCACTTTTCAGATATCTAACTGAAAACAATTGATTACAACTGCTGTGCTAAAATAAAAGCTCAAAATATATCTCTGAAAAACATAAACAAAAACAAATGGTTACATGTGCTATAAACAGATAGGACCAAAGTCTTCATGTCTATTGTGGCAGCTGAACAAAGTGTGAATTAGGGATCCATTACTCTAAAGGTGACTGAAGCAGACCAGGGAGAAGGGAGCTCACAAGCAGGTGCTTAAACTCGGACCAGGAGTCCATCTATGATCCGGTTCCGGTCAGTCTGACAAGTCACTCTGATCCAGTACGATTATCCTGTGTGTGTTTTTTAAAAAAACAAAGAAGGGAGTTTTGAGTTGATGTGTACATTTTTAAAAGACACAAAAAACAGCCTCTTTCTATTCAACTGAATTTAAGGGAAAGGAATTTTTATTTCTTTTAGTTAAAAAAAATTTTGTATTAAATTTATTGACCTGGCCAGTGTGGCTCAGTGGTTGAGTGTCGAACTATGAACCAGGAAGCCACGGTTTGATTCCCAGTTAGGGCACATGCCCTGGTTGTGGGCTTGATCCCTGATGGGGTAGGGGGTGTGGGAAGCAGCCAATCAGTGATTCTATCTTATCATTGATGTTGCTATCTCTCTCCCTCTCCCTTCCACTCTGAAATCACTAAAAATATATTTTTTAATTTACTGGAGTAACATTGGTTAATAACATAATTTTTATAATCAAAGGAGATATGCTCAACTAGGGTATCATGCAAATGCAAAATGACTGCAAAGCAATTGATAGCAGCATCTTCTGGACTCCCTCCATCTAAAACTGTTCTGCTAATTCTACCGATTACTTCACCAAAGTTGGTGTTCGTTTTACCTTATGTTTTAAGTATAAACATTAATGTTTTAAAAATTGAACAACTTTGAATTCAAGTCTTTGTCACTAATGTTTATTAAGATGCTGATAAATGTTTAAAGTCTGCCCATGTTGTTTAGAAATAATGAACTCTGACCTACAAACATCTGGTATCTCATTACCTGGATGGTTCTGACCAACTCAGTCGCTTCCCAAAACAAGATTTCAGTTCCTCTTGATGAAATATAGGAGGAAGAAAAAACAACCTGATTACTTGCTAGGTCAAAGGGTACTAGTATTCAGAAGTCACATTAGTACCCTCTCTATTTTAAGGTGAACTGTTTTACCTAGATTCTTTCTAAAAACAGTTCATTGGTTTTCTCTTCTAACATTTTGCAGTTCCCTGTCATAGCTATGGACACTATGATGCTAATTCATAAAGCCTCTGTATTATACTCTCAGTGAATTGAACACTAGCTCAATGCTCACACGCTGGGCTCTGTCCCAGTTAGGGTCCTGAAAACAACAGAATGCAATCCCAGGACCTTCACTGAAGTGATTACTTAGAGAGATGTAGTCAGAGTTGAGGGAGCAAAAAAGGGATGGCAAGGCATCCAGTGCCTAGCAGCAGTGGGAAGCCATTATCGCTAATCTGAAAGAACTGGAGGGTGGAGGTAGGGCAGGATGGTTACTGGAACCCAGTGAGAGCTGGAACTGGGAAGAATGGGCTGTGTTTGTGGAGGGACACCACTTCTAGGCAGAGATGAGGTGCTGAATTAGACAGGCAGGGGAAGTAATACCCCAACTGCTCTCCTGCCCTCTGATATGCTGGTGCCTCCCACTGGCCACCAGGAAGACAGCTGGCCAGGAATCCCAGGAGGTGCAGGGTCAGCATCCTGGAGCACAAAGCAGGGCAGGGAGAGCAGAATGCAAATGGACTGGAGAAGGATGAAAGGGATACCTGATCTGAAAGAGTTAATGTCTCCAACTTCCTGAGTGGAAGGAACTTAAATATAGGCAGGCATCATTTGTGAATGGCATTTTAAAGCCCTATCAAATTGTTTTGATATTAAGGTTAATTTATACCTTTCACATTACTGTAGACTCCATTTAAATGACACAATTTATGATTTCTTATTGGATTCTGCAGCCTGTGTGTGAGCTAAATTTAGAACTCTTTTGAAGGTACTAGACAGTTAGAAGCAAAACATCTTTCCAGACAATGTGCAAGATAAGGATGATGAGACTGGCCGAAGGCTTGCTTTAGAAATGAAATTGGATGTTGTTGCTGTTTTGTGATGAAGACATGATTAGCAATGAACAGAAATCCTGGGCTGAACTACGGGGGAAATGTGTATGAGAATTATGTATAGCATCTGGAAAACATTTCTAAATAACTTCGATGTGCATCAAAGCCCAAGGATTCTGAGCTACACTGTAAATGATTATTCATTCATACATACCTTCTTTAGAAGCCCCTAGAAAGCTCTCTGATGTCCTCTCTGGTTTCATGCCTTCTTCCACTTTCCTCTTCTTTTCACCAACTTCTTGATCCTTGGTATTTGTCTCCCTTCAATAACAATGATTTTCCGTATCAAAACATATACACAATAGCCAAGGGAACAGGACTATACTCCAAAGGAAACATAATAATAGCTAGCACTAATGGAGTGTACCCTATAGGCCAGACATCGGTTCAAGGGCTATAATATATATTAACTCAATTCTCATCACAACTATATGTGCCTCATTAAGTGATAAGGAAACTGAGGCACAAAAGTTAAATTACATGCCTAGTAAGCCCTAGAGCTGGTCTGCCTCAGACTCTGCTCTCAATCACTAGGCTATATTGTCCCAAAGAAAAAAATCATTTCACTTATGTTGCAATTGGTGTCCTTTTACAACCAGCACTTCATTACCTCACCTTCATTTCCTGAAACTCTCTGAATTGAAATATCTAATTAAAGTATCGAACAATTTAAGACCCATTTATCAAACTAGTAAGCAAAAAACATCTCTCCCATTCAACTATAAGCTCTTAAGGGCAGAGACATCCCTCTGCACCCAGCCCTTAGGCGCAGCGCTAGGATGGAGGTTGGTGCACCATAGATGCTGGCTGAACCAAACTGGCACTGTTCAGATATTTCTCTTCTGTTTTCATTTGGTGGATATTCAAAACAAATATGTAAATGAGAGAGGAAAATAAAGCCCGGTAGGGTGAGAAGGACTTTTTCCTCCTAACCTCTCATCACTAATAGAATCATGGGCTCTAGAGTCCATAGCAGGCCTTCAGGTTAGCTTCTACCTCTGTCCAAATGCCTCTGAAACTAAACTAACAGTCACCCAGCCTGTGCTTGAGGGGAAGGAGCTGTTGTTGAAGTAAGTGTGAAGGCATCTGTTTTCTCTGCCAAATAGCTATGGCTATGAGGAGGTTTGTGCTTTACTGAATAAAACCCCCTTACACTGCAGTTTCTAGTCACTAGCTCTGTCCTTTGAGGCAGAAGCGAGTAAGCTGACTCTCTACTTTGCGATATTTCAGGTATTTGAGGGGAGCTATCAAATTCTCCGCTCCATCTGCTCTTCTCAGGCCGGCCTCCCCAGCTCCTTCAGCTGTTCTCATATGACAAGGTTTCCAGACCCGACTGTTCAATGGCCATCCTCTTCTATTTGTGAGTGTCCCTTTTAAAATGTGATGCCCAGAAAGGAGCCCTACTCTGTGTCATGCCAGTGTGAGGCATGACTTTGTTCTGGTCAATACATTTCTGTCTACTCATCATGAATGCTGTATTGACCTTTTTACTTTTATTTTTCTGTATTGACCTTTTTATTTTTATTTTTCATTGACCTTTTTAGCAACTGCATCAAACTGAGGCCTCATGGAGTTGCTGTCCATGCCTTCTTCAATAAGAACTTCTTGAATTCTTACTATCTCAAAATGCCTGCTAAATACTGGGCACGTAAAAATAAGACCCACTCTTTCTTTCCCCCCTTCCCCCTCCCCCTCTCCCTCTCTCTCTGTAAGTAAATAAATGCCACACTTCCTGCTTTCAATGAGATTACAGTGAGTAGGATCTTCCAAAAAAAATTCCACATTAGGTCAGATCTCTCACATTCTATAATTTTGGATGCAAATGCTCAGCTTCATCTTTAGAGAAATCCAACATCTCCACCTGTCAAGACCATTTTGAGTCCATAGTCTATCACCTATCACATTTGTATTCATTTTAGACTTGTATTATCTAAAAGTCTGATAAGCATGCCTTTTTTATTTAATTCAAACAACTGATGAAAATGTTGAAGGTGACAGGGCCAAGATATAGCAATCGTAGAGGCCTCTCTCTATACTGATATCCATCTGTTAATCAATATCTTGGGTACTATGGGTGTTTGGAGGAAGATGGGCAGACAGGAGTCAGGGCTGGCTTATCTACAGCAATGTAATGCCATCACCAGACATTCATTCCTCAAAAAGGCAAGATGTTTTTTAAAAACTAAAATCTAGTCCCCCTTCCAGAGAAAGAAGAAAACGATCCCCTGATGGAGAACAGTAAATAACCTTGCAGAGCCCTTGGGGAGATCCTGTAGCACTGTGATGTCCTCAGGTGGCTGTAGCCATCTTTCCAGGTCCTCATCGAGAGAAGAGTGAGCTCTATCCAAGGGCAAGTGAAGAGAATTGAGACAACAGTCATTTCCTGTCTCCTCCAGAAGGAGCCATAGCACTTTACAGTGCGAAAGGACCTTCAAACTTGTGCTTTCATTACACATACAAGAAAATGAGAGCTCACTGAGATTGTCTGTGGAGTTGTAGAGGTCACCTAGACCCGATTTAAATGTGCACAAAATCCTCCTTTAAGCCTCTTGACAAAAAGCTTCAGCACCCAGGAGATCAATACCTTCCAAAGTCTGATGCCAGACTGCCTCAATTCTTTTTTTATTTATTGATTGATTAAGGTATTACATATGTGTCCTTATCCCCTCATTGCATCCCCCCACCCCCGCTCATTTCTTGATCATTAAGTCAATTTCCACCTGAGGCTAGAACTGTACCTTCATTTCTGTAAGTTTTTTAAATTAAGAACTGCCTCTGGGACTAAATGATGTGGAGTGTGTTTTCAGAAGGCCTGTAAAGTCCCACCCATCTGAAAAATAGCTTCCACTCTGGCTTGGTGCCGAGGACTGAGATGACGGAGCATCTGTGGGCATCTCTCTGTGTCCAGCACAGCCAGCCCTTTTGGAAAAGGAAGAGACAACAATAACAGTAGCCAGCTTTTAATCATGTGACTTTATGTAATCAAATGTAACTCTGCCTTCCTGAACTGCTCCACTGTGGTGGTCCTCAGACCAGCCACAGTAAACCTGAGAACTCATTACATTTGCCTTGAATGATGACATGGATATTACTGGGGATGTTTTGGGGAGATGGAAGGACTAGAGTTACATCAAACATTATGATCAAAATACTGTATTTCTAAAACTTAAAAAAATATATTTGTCTCCCTCCCCTTTTCCCCTTTTTCTTCTCTGTCTCTCCCAAAAACCTTTCCCCACTTCCTCAAAGGTCCCAGGGGCTCTTGTCTCCTCCTCCACTTCACAGACCTTCCCTTCCAGGTCCCTCTCTTTTCCTTCCTTATAGAGAATGATTTTACCCTTGAAGAATGTGACAAAAACAGGATTCACTATCGAAAAGCTGTATCACTCTTCTCCCTTGCCTTCTTCTTCTACAGCAGCTAAAAAGTTAAGGCTCAAATTCCATTCTCCCTTGTAACTGAAGATGGTCACGCATCCCATTTGGCCAATGATATATAGTGGGCATCTGCTGGGAAGGGCTTCTGGGGAAGATTTTGCTTCCCAAATAAAAAGAGACCAAGTCAGCTAGAATATTCCTTTGCCCCACTCTCTCATCTCTGCCTGGTCTGTGGACAGGGGTCATGCAACCAGGAGGTGACTAGCCTGAAAATAAAGGCCAGCATGCTATGCTGTTGCTACAGATGGCACACCAGGAAGATCAAAAGAACCATCCTTTGATGCCCTACCAACCTGTGGGCCTCTTGTCATGTGAGACAAACTCACTTAAGCACAATAGTGGGGTTTTCTATCATTGCAGCTGAAAGAATTCTGCAGGGCTACCTTAAGGACTCACCGGACCAGGATTAGGATGAAGCAAGTGGTGCAAAGGCAGATTCAGATCCTGTCTTTCCTTAAAATTCATATATTTTATTCATCATGGATTCTTTTTTGTATTACTTTCTATTTTTAAAAAAATACTGCATTAAAATAGCACTCCTCAACTTTGTGCCCAAAGAGTGTCTTACTCATCTTGCCCTGAATGGCAGGACAAGGCAAGAGAAGTCAGGAGGCAAAGGAGATGAACTGCAGTGGTTTACCTTACAACACAAGTTAGAGGAGAGCTCTGAATCAGGGGAGAATCGGGTTTCTTAAGGCAACCTTGTGTTTTTCACACTGCATTGTCTAGGTGACTGCCCCGTTTCCTCGTAGTTGGCTAAAAGATCTAACAATTCTCTTCCAATGCTTTAAGTAAAATGTCTTGAAAGAAGCTGAAACCTGTGTTTGCCTTGCAAAATGAAGTAAAAAACAAACAAAAACACAAAAAACTTGACAAGAAAAAAAAACTATTAAAAAATGGGCAAAGGAGTCAAATAGATATTTCTTCAAAGAACATATACAAATGGACATCAAACACATTTGAAAAAATACTCAGCATCACTAATGATAAGGAAAATGCAAATCAAAACCACAATGAGATATCACCTCATATCCTTTAGGATGGCTACTATAAAAACAAACAAACAAAAAAACACACAAAAAACACCAGAAAATAATAAGTATTGGCAAGAATGTGAAGAAACTGAAACCCTTGTGTACTGTCAGTGGGAGTGTAAAATGGTGCAGCTGCTGTGGAAAACAGTCTGGTATTTCCTCAAAAAATTAAAAATAGATTTACCATACGATCCAGCAACCCCACGTCAGAATATGTCCAAAAGAATTGAAAGCAGGGTGCCTTGAAGAGATATTTGTATACCTATGTTCATAGCAGCATTATTCACAATAGTCAAAAGGTGGAAGCAACCAGTGTCCTCTAACAAATGAAAGAATAAACAAAATCCAATACACATACACATAAACATACTAGTACAATGGAATTAAGACTTAAAAAGTAAGAAAATTCTGACACATGCGACATGAATGGATCTTGAGAACATTATGCTAAGTGAAATAAGTTAGTTACAAAAAGACAAGTACTGTATCATTTCACTTATATAAGGTCATCAAAAGTCCTCGAAGTCATAGAAACAGAAAGTGGAATGGTGGTTGCTAGGGACTGAGGGGAGGGGGATATGAGGAGTTGTTTAATAGGTATAGAGTTTCAGTTTTGCAACATGGAAAAGTTTTGGAGATTGGTTGCACAACAATGTGAATATAATTAACACTAGTGAACTTAAACATTTTATGTTATGTGTATTCTATGACAATTAAAATTTTTTTTTTTATTAAATATATTTTATTGATTTTTTACAGAGAGGAAGGGAGAGAGATAGAGAGTTAGAAACATCGATGAGAGAGAAACATCGATCAGCCGCCTCCTGCACATCTCCTATTGGGGATGTGCCCGCAACCCAGGTACATGCCCTCGACCGGAATCGAACCTGGGACCTTTCAGTCCGCAGGCCGACGCTCTATCCACTGAGCCAAACCGGTTTCGGCAAAATTTTTTTTTAACATTTTAGGAATAGGGGCTATTGGGATGGTATGAAAAAAGAGTATTTCCCCCCTTCTTCTTAATTGTCAATAGCAGAACAAAAACTAATACAGTATTTTAAATCCTTTCAAAAGTCCAGCTTTTTATGTTACCTTTCTGTGTCCTCTTCTAGACCCTGAGTTTCTTGGGTCCAAAGCACACTGCTATCTTCTTTTGTACTGCTAGTTTCTTGTTCTTCTAAATGACTTTGATCTAAAAACAGTTGAAAAACTTCACTTTATTTGAACAACAACAAAAAACAATAATTCAAAAAGACTGCCTTAAATGGAATGCTTTAAAAACTTAGGGCTAATCAGTGGCCCCTGTCTAGTTCCTTCTTCCCCAGGAGAGCAGGTGCCAGGTGGCAGTCTGCAGGGTGCCTGTCTCCACAGCAGCTGCCGCAGGGGTCCTGGGAGCTCTTCAGTGCCAGGTGAAGCTACAGGAAACCCTGCTTGTGCCAGGGCTCAAGAGAGACAGAGGAAAGAAAGGGAACATAAAAGAGGAAGGAAGAGACCCTGAAAACAAATCGCACAGATTTTCTTGAGGGCCACCCTGTTCTCACTTGCGAGATGTTTCTAGGTTGGAGCCCCAGGGAAAATATTTGGGTGGGGAAGGGTAGTACCCTTTAATGTATGCCAGGCATTTTACACATGCCATCTTGTTCCATCTTGCCAGCTGTCCTATGAAGGGAAGGGAACTAACATTTGTTCAGTGTCTTACAATGTACCAGGCACTGTGTATGAAACTATTATGTACATCATGGAGTAGGAATGATCATCCCCATTTTACAGGTGAGGATGACTGAGGTTCAGAGACATTAAACAGTTTGCCATACAAAAGCAGTGGAGTCAGAATCAAGGTGGTTATGCCTAACCTCAAGGTCCACTCTCCCAAATGTACCACTGTACTGCCAAGGGCAGCACCACAGCAAGAACCTGATGAGAAACATCTGGGTAGTTGGCTTACCTTTTGCAGTAACGCCCAGAGGATTTGCTGGGTCCTCACCCAACACTGCGGATGAGGCCTGCTGCCTCTTCAAGTGCTCTGTCCAATACAAAAGCAGAAGGCAACTTATTTCTTCTTTGCATGTCACACCATTCTCTAGGGCAGTGGTTTTCAAAGGGTGGTCCTCAGACCAGCCACAGTCAACCTGAGAACTCATTACATATGCAAATTCTGGGCCTCATTCCAGACCCACTGAATCAGAAACTCGGGTGGGGTCCAGCAATCTGTACTTTAACCAGGTGATTCTGGTGCCTGGAAACCACTGCATGAGGACTTTCAATCCCACACAACCATAAAAATAAAACCGATGATGATAGGAAAGATTTCTAGAGCCCTATGTGGCAGGTACGGTTTCTAACAATCATTAAGTCAAGATCAATGTTTGCAGTTAATTCTCACAACAACCCTATGAGATTGATCACATTGTTATTCCTGTTTAACAGATGTGGAAATGGAAGTAAAAAAGGGTTAAGGAGGAATTTATCTAGAATCACAGAGAGTAAGAGGAGGAAATGGAATTTAAACCCAGGCAGTCTAGCTCTAAGGTTTATGCTCTTAATCTCCATTTTCTAATCTCTCAAACAGTTTGTGACAGAATCAGAGCAACCCATAATTTCCCCCATCCCTATTGGACTATATTTTTACCTAGTTAATGGGAAAGACAGAAAGCAAAGAATATAATTTCCAGTTCCTAAAGAATTGCTCACTAGACCAAGACAAGCATCTGCTAAGCTCAGCACACTGCCTTGCATCTGTTAGGATTTTGGTCTCCTCCAAGTGCTCCCAGAGCAGAGCAGTGACAGCTGGGAGGCAGCACAGACAGGAGCCCAGGGCTCGCTCACCACACGGCCCTGCTGTGTGCAGAAACAGGTCTCACCCTTCCTGTAGGTCAGTTATAGGCCCTACCTGGTAGCTCCTGGGCATCATGGGGCCTCACAAGATCATTCAATATAATTTGAAATAAAAAGCTCATTTTATCCTTATTAAAGTAGTCCTTTGTTGATCTTAAGGATCCCCTAGGATTCTAAAGCACCTCCCCTTTATGCCCTTGCCAGAAGCGCAGGGCTTTGGATGTGGGCGCTCCAAAAGCACAGGTATCAGCTTCTGGTCACTCCTGAGGGGGAACAACAGAGTGATGATGTATATAACCAGCTGAGAGCACCCATTATTAGGAGAAACTACCCAAATGCCCTCTGCCCTTTTTCTTCCTGGAAAATTACTGACCCATCTCCAAGTACAGACATCACCTAGAAACCTGGCCCAGATCAGTCCTGTGAGCAACATGAGGGAGGGCTGCACACAGTGCCCGGGGACTCAGCAGTGCCATGAGGCTGGAGCCCGGGAAGAGACCTGGTGACAGCTGCTGAAACGGGGGACTCCGCGTGGTGACTGAAGAGAGAAGACAGCAGAACCCAGAGGAAAGTTTCACTCAAGTCAAACCTCAAAGGGGCCTACAAATACTGCTTATGCCAGGACCAAGGCACAGATGACACCCTGTAGGGTGTATGGTGACCTCTATCTACTCACAAGCAGCAGTTCTTTTGTATTAAGAAGAGCATGCCTTGGCTGGTTTGGCTCAGTGGATAGAGCATCGGCCTGCAGAGCAAAGGGTCCCGGATTCAATTCCGGTCAAGGGCACATACATTGGTTGCAGGATCCTCCCTGGCCCAGGTCCTGGTTGGGGCTCGTGCAGGAGGCAACCAATCAATGGGTTTCCCTCATATTGATGTTTCTGTCTTTCCCTCTCTCTTCCACTTTCTCTAAAAGATCAATAAAAAAATATCCCAGGGTGAGGATTAACAAAAAGACCAAAACAGAAAGAAAAAAAAAAAAGGAAGAGCCAACTGGCCAGGCTGGCGTGGCTCAGTGGTTGAGCACTGACCTATGAACCAGGAGTTCACAGTTCAATTCCTGGTTAGGGAACATACCCGGGTTGCGGGCTCAATCCCCAGTGTGGGGCGTGCAGGAGGCAACTGATCAATGATTCTCTCTAATCATTGATGTTTCTATCTTTCTCCCTCTCCCTTCTTCTCTGAAATCAATAAAAAAATATATATATTTTTTAAAAAAGAGCAACTGGAGAAGAGGACTTTGCAAGGACTCCCTAGGGAGTTCCAGAGCAGACCGTGGGGGTGGTGCCCTGAGAAAACGGCCCCAAGATCCTGTGACCTGTATGACCCTGTGGCATCAGCGGAGGGGTGCAGTAGGCAAGAAGGGCCTATGACTACAGAAGACCTTAAGGCAGGTTCTGGCAGCTCTGACTGACTCCACCCAAGTTCATCAGGCCAATGGGGCTGGGGCTTGTGACAATATAGACGGTAGCTTTTGGTTGAGTCAGACCAGGTAAGTCCTCATTCACCTTCCTCTTCCTGTATCCAGACACACAAAACCTCTGAGACTCTGAAAACCAAGAGGTGCCCCTCAGGAAAATTTCTAGAGGCCCCATCCTAAGAATTGAACCATCAGAGGTCTCACAAGATGTGTCCTCTGAGGGTGAGGCTGGTGGGCCAGGCTGTCAAGAAAAGAGCAGCCCGGTCTTTTCTGGGGAAGCAAACCACGTGCCCCAAATGTCTCTATAGCATTTATGTCCAGCACCTACTCAGCTGGGAAAGGCCAGCCAATCAGCTACAATTATAACTGAACTGGTATTGCTCAGTCTCTTCCTGAAATGGAAAATTCTGGTCACATTAGGTCTTGTGCCACTGACTTCTCTGCCCTCAGGAAAGTGATTCATCCACAATGCCAATACCTTCAATACCTCCTGCTAATGGCTGAACTAAAAGAACAGGGTGTCTTGGATTCAGTAACCAGACATCAGGCCTCCAAGATATGTCTGGGTTGGTTAGAAAAGGAGATAACAATTCCTTTAATAACAGAAGTTCATCATAATAAACCACATGGACGTTGTTATTTTCTCTTACTACTAGAATCATTACCAGGGACCCTGTAAGAAACAAAATGATGACACAGGCCAGTTATCCTGGCCAGGCTTCGGCAGAAATCCGAGGTCCAGTGATTTAAAAACTGCCCCTTCCTGAATTCTGTACAGTCATAGGGTCTTCTGCACTAGTGCTCACTCCCAAGGCAAGGAACCATATTGCGGTCAGTGACCACAGCTAACAGGGCCACCGACATTCTGTATTGAGCATGCCTTACCAATTTCATCAAGTAGCTCCTGAGATGGAGGTGGTAGCTTGTCAATGTGATGCTGCGAGATGGCTTCTATTAGTTCTTTAAAAAGATAAAAGGGGAAATGACTTAACACTCTCCTGGACCTAAAGTGGATTTTCTAGGCTCCCACATGGATTTGATTTAGGATTTCCCAATGTGAAACAAACTAAGGCGGAGAAAAGGCCTCTTACAATAACAGGCCTAGCTGACACCTCCAAACATGTGAATGGCTTTACTCCCCCTTTTACTCCGAATCCTTTCCTATGTTACCCCTACCCCAGTACTGCTTAATCTGAGCCCCTCATTCCCCAAGGATATTTGGGGTAGGTGAAGTACAAATTCTTACTGAGAGGCTGGGAGCACAGTCCGGAACAGGGCTGATAAAGGGATATAGAGAGAGGCTCTGGACCAGTCAAAAGGAACAAAACACAAAGTAGACAGATTTCTCTATAGATCATGAGGCCAGGGCACACAGAAGCAATCATACTTTGGGCCTTCCCCTAAGTGCTCAATTATAACATCAACCACACCCTCTCAGCATAACCCACAAAATCCTTATCCCCCAGAAGGAGATTCTAAGAGTTGTACCAAAGATGCAAGACATTAAAATTAATGTGGCAGTGCTCGCTTCGGCAGCACGTATACTAAAATTGGAACGATACAGTCTGGCCAGTGTGGCTCAGTTGAGCATCAACCTATGAACCAGGAGGTCAGGGCATCAAACTCGATCCCCAGTGTGGGGTGTGCAAGAGGCAGCCAATCAATGATTCTCACTCATCATTGATGTTTCTTTCTTTCTCCCTCTTGCTTCCTCTCTGGAATCAATAAAAATTAAAAATAATAACAATAAGCCCCTAGCCAGTTTGGCTCAGTGGATAGAGCGTCATCCTGTGGACTGAACAGTCCCGGGTTTGATTTCAGTCAAGGGCACGTACCTCGGTTGCAGGCTCCTGGGCATGCGAGTGGCAACCAATCAATGTGTCTTTCTCACATTGGTCTTTCTCTCTGTCTCTCCCTTTCCCTTCCACTCTGTCTAAAAATCAATGGAAAAAAATATCCTTGGGTGAGGATTAAAAATAATAATAAAAATACTATATAATAAAGAGGTGATATGCAAATGGTCATTACGCTGTGATGCGTAACAACCGATCAGCAGGAGGGCGGGGCAGCGAGCTACAAGTGGTGGCAGAGAGCTACAGGAGGGAAGAGCAGTGAGCTATGAGTGGGGGAGAGCTACATGAGGGCGGGGCAGCGAGCTACTCATGCACGGATTTGTGCGCAGGGCCACTAGTAATAATAATAAAACTGGAACAATATAGAAAAGATTAGCATGGCCCCTGCAAAAGGATGACACGCAAATTTGTGAAGTGTTCCATGTTTTAAAAAAACATTAATGTGGCAAAGGCAACATGCCTGTCTAAGAGCTGTTAACACACTGGAACTGTCCTCTAAGCTTTCCCAAGGAAAGGAGCCAAGGTGCAGATACAGATTTTTGCACAGTCCTTCAACATAAGGACATAGTTACGCAGCATATGTAGAATGGACTACTATGCATCCATTAAACATATTTACAAATAATTTTTACTGAAGAGGAGAAATCCTCAAAATATATCATCAAAGAAAAAAAGCTGGCTAGAACTGATGTAATATATAATCTCAACTATGCTAAAAAAATGTGGGTTTTTTTTTGTATATTTCTAAAAATATAGAAAAGATATGTACCAAAATAGTGTTGGTGGTAGAATTCAATGTGTTTCTTTTTTAAGCTCTTCTTTATTCTCCACGTTTTCTATAATGAGTATGTTTTACTTTTATAATTGGGGGGAAATAATATTTTTGTTAAAATAAAATGTAGCATCAAAGATGAGACTATGGCTCCTTTAAATTGCTTTTCTATTATAAACTTGTGTTTTGATATTAAACAGGGTACCTCTTGGCAGGCTCCTTTTCTGGATGGCAAGGGATGATTTGTCAGGCACCTTAGCACTTCTGGAGGAACCAGTCCTAGTAAATGTAGATGATCTTTTCTATAAGTAAGATATAAATATGGTAATTAACACATATATTGAGCAAAAAAGGCCCATACAGCTCAACCATTTCCAACATTAAGGCTGTGTATCATCAGTGGAAGAAACCAGTTGCTTGTTGATTGAGTCAAATTCATTCAAATGCCACCTCCTCCAGGAAGCCTTCTTACCCCTCTTGCCTATGCAGCACTCAGTACTCCCTCTGTGTTACAGTCTTTCTCACTAGGTGGTGAGCTCCTTCAGGGCAGGGACTAGGCCTTTTATATTCACATTTGGATGCCTTGAAGAGGGCTGGGCAAGGTGTCTGGCATTTAGAACCTGCCCAATGAACAGTTTGATGAACGAAAGCATAAAATTCTTTATTGCCCTACTTCAGACTGAGACCTTTTGTGAATCAAATGCCCAAAGAAGGTAATAGTTGGTTTCTCACCAAGGGCCAAAGCCAATAATCAATCTACTATAGGATGGCGAGTCAACAGGTTCTTTTTGTTTTGTTTTGTTTTTTAGTGAATAAACATAACTATTTTATTACTCGATTCTGGGAGGCAGCGCTCAGCAGGAACTGCTCCATATGCCAGTTGGGGTGATAATGGTTTGGAGAACTCAAGAGGGTTTCATTCACATGTCGGAGGCCTGGAGGTGGCAGAACCGGCAAAGTCACATTGCAAAGGGATAGAGCGACAGGTTCTCAATGCACAGCACCAAGGAAGAAACTTGTCATTTTCTTGAAAAGACTACACGTGCAAAATATGAGGGAGGAGAGAAGGTGGCATACAACTGAGTGTTTTCACTACAGACTATTCGTTCAGGAGTTCAGAGAAGACTGAAGATCAATCACAACTCTTAGGGAACTAAACAGAGGAGGCTTCAAGAACAACTCAAACCTCCTCAAGTAGGTAGGATATGACTAGAGACAAAAATAATGCAGGTGAAGGCGGCATCAAAAACTATGGCAGAGTTTGGCTCCTAGAGAAATTGCCAAACATTACCTCCAGGCGGCAGGGGATGGGGGAGGGAGGCACAAAACCCAGGGTCTGTCTTACAATACAGTCTCAGAGAGAGCCCCAGGGAAGCTGGAAAGGATCCCGCTGGCTTCTTGCTCTTTGTAAAATGGATTTGGAGAAATCATGGCACTCTGGACCATTGAGGCCTTTGGGCTGACTCCATAGGAATGCAGACCTGGCATACTTACGTGATCAGTCAGTCTTGAAGGGAGAGTTTCAGAGGAAGCAAAAAGGGACTCTAGGCTCTTTACTTTCTCCTGGACAGTTGTAAATTTATCAGACAAAGTGGATTCCTGATAGCTCCAGCACGAGGTAGACCCTGTTTTATCCTGAAATGTGAAGCTTTCAAGGCAGTCTTTATAGTGACTATCAGATGAAGAAATTGACTCTGTTGTAGAAAAGAGGGTAGTTAGTGTCTGAATCCTTTATATTATTTAAAAACAAAAACAGAAAACCTCACACAACCATATACCTATACCATGCAATCTCCAAAATGTTAGTAACCGAAATAATCACTGATCTGAGACGCAGCTCCTCCAAGTATAAAAAAATGACAGTCTTGCCCTGGCTGGTGTAGCTCAGTGGGAGAGCATCAGCCCTCGCACTGAAGGATCATGGGTTCGATTCCTGTCAAGGGCACCTGGGCAGGTTTGTTCCTGGCCAGGGTCAGGTGTGTGCGGGAGGCAACCAATCTCTCTCTCTCTCACTCACTCACTCTCTCTCTCTCCCTCCTTCCCTTTTATTCTCACTAAAAACAAAATCAATGGAAAAAATATCCTTGGGTGAGGATTATCAACAAAAAATATAAGCAAACAAACAAACAAATAAACAGTCTCCAAACTTAGTCACCAAAATAGAGGGAGAACTAGGACACGAGGATGTTGGTGCTGGCTATCGACAGCTGCAGGGCTCAGAACTATACATGTTTAAGCACAAGGGACTGTTTGAAGTTACAAACTCTAGAGAATGCAATGTATTTGTACTAAATTCAATAGTGCTCAGGGTACAGAGCAGTCTCTGCATTTGCATGTCTCTCCCACTAGAGTAAAAACACCTCCTACAGCTGTTTAATGACCACCAGCACCACCCTTCCCAGCCTCCCATGGGGTTGTCCCTTCAACTCTGGCCCTAAAGAATACCTCTGCGCTGCGAGAAAGCACCTTCCAGGTCTGCTCCCAAGGCTTGGCTTCCAGAGCCAATGGCACAGGGGCTGTCGCTCCCTCCCCCAAAAGCTTGTCCTCCCTTCAAGAGATTACCTGGGCTGAGTGGAGTGCTGACACTAGGAAGCGCATGGTTTATTCTGGGTGTTTTGCATGAGACTTCCTTAAAAGAAGCATCTTGTTCATAGGAGATACTAGACAGGTCTTGAATGTCTGTCAATGATCTAAAAAAATTAAAAGCACACAATAATTGGGAGATGTTTGGAAAAATCTAACAACATATTCCTGAGAGGTACTTTTTAACCCATTGTACGCCATAAGCATCTGTAGATGCACATGGCAGACCTTCCCCACATGCCAAAGCGTGCCTATAAAAAAAAAAACGTTTTCCCTAAGTGGCAGCCCTGACCAAATAGATGCACATGGCAGACCTTCCCCACACGCCAAGCGTGCCTATAAAAAAAAATGTTTTCCCTAAGTGGCAGCCCTGACCAACTTTAAAATCATTTTTGTGAGAACTTTCAGCTGAAAATATTAAAGAACACCCGAACTGTAATATATTTATTTTTATAGTATTCATTGCAAACTAATCTTTTCAGTTAAATTCAAAATATTGTGGCATGTGGGGATGGTTTCCATTTTGGACACATGGTAGTTAACTAGTTAAAGATGCTCTTGCCCTGACTGGTTTGGTTCAGTGGATAGAGCATCGGCCTGCAGACTCAAGGGTCGCAGGTTTGATTCCAGTCAAGGGCATGTACCTTGGTTGCGGGCACATCCCCAGTGGGGGGTATGCAGGAGGCAGCTGATCGATGTTTCTAACTCTCTATCCCTCTCCCTTCCTCTCTGTAAAAAATCAACAAAATATATTTTTTAAAAATAAAGATGCTCCTGACAAAAATCTTTATTTGGCAACAGGCCAGAATTAGAGAATATCTTTGAATATCTTATATATATCTTAAAGAGGATATTGGAGAGTATCTTACAAAGAGATACTAACTTTAAATATATCTCAGCAACTAAAAGTAAACTATGTCCATAGATGAAAGTATATTTTCGTGGGAACCAGATTTAATCCATTTATATAAATAGGTTTATACCTCAAGTAGAAACACATAGTTGTTATTATCACTGTATTTCCTTGATTGCAAGATGCTAGTAATTTAGATCACATCTTCTTGGTGAAAGAAGAAACAGGCTCACAAAAAAATGAGAAGAATGTAGATTCTTACAAACAAGGAAATACTATTTCCCTAAAACGAAAACTTTACATAGTATCCTTAGGCAGCCCTTTGGTGGCCATACATGTCTTTCTCTTTCAGTTCCTTGGGTGACTCCTTTAACGTCTCCTCTTGTTCACCTTCAGGACTGTAAGAGAGAAAGTGAGAAAATTATATGAATGGCCTGTCAGCTGAGTGCACTAAGTTGGTACAAGGGACCAGTGTGAGAAGCAGCAAGAAGGGCACTAGGCTCAGAAGTGGAAAGTGTGGGCTCTGGTCCTGGCTCTGCTACCAGCTAGCCACATGTTCTCAGGCAAGTCTGGGCCCTGCTCTGTGCCTCGGTTTCCTCTTAGAGACTGAATAAATATTCTCTAAGGGTCAGCCCATCTGAAATCAGCTGATGATGTTATAGGACAGTGAGCAAGTTCCAGAGGAAACCAATGGAGCACAGGAACTTTGCTGGAGATGGAGGCTGGAGCAAGGGGCACAGTCATGGGGCCTGACCATGTGAGATAGCTTCCAGGCACAGAGTGACCAGAAAAGAATACTGAAGACAAACTGGACCTATTTCTACTTGAACCAGAATTTAGGATTCAATTTCAATACTTGTTGAACACAAACTATAAGCCAGGATCCACCTAAATCCTTCCATGTTTTCACATTTTTAATCTTTGCAACAATCCTGTGGGGCCAATGGTACAAAGGAAAGAGCATAGACTTTGACTTTGAGTTGTGTCTTTATTAATTCTGTTCACTAAAATATTTGTTCTCCTTCCAAGCACACAGTAGGCCAGTACCACTTTTTGGCCCTAATTTGCATAAATGGCCACATGACCTGTTTTAACCAGTGAAATATAAGTGAAAATGATGTGTGTAACTCTTGGGAAGAAACTTTAAAGGACACTACACAATTCACTGTCCCCTCTTTGCCTCCTCATCAATTAAGGATGCACAGGATGGACCCTATCCTCAGCTTGCATCTCTGATAGAAGGGAACACAGCACAGCACACTCCTGGCTATCCCAGGATGGACAAGGAGCACGAGCAAATGATAAATTTGCATTGTTTTAAGCCACTAAAACCTGGGGATTGTTATGTAGCATAAATCTAGCTTCTCTTGACTGAAATAGCCACTCACCAACTGTTCAACCTTAGAAAAAATACTTAAACTCTCTGAACTTTGCTTTCCTTACTGGCAAAATGGAGATAATAGTGTGTACCTCAGAGGGTTGTTCTATGAATTAAATTTGACAAAACAGAGTACCTGCATATGGTGGCTGCTTAGGAAATACTAGCTATAATTATTATAGATAAGGAAACTAAGGCTCAGAGAGGGGAAAAGCAAAGTGAATGTTACTGTATTAGGCCCTTTACATCTATGCATTTTTTAATTAAACTTTCTTTTGAGATAACTATATTCACATGCAGTTTTAAGAAATACACTTTACCCAGTTTCCCTCAATGGAAACATCTTGCAAATCTACAGAACAATATCACAACCAAGAAATGGACACCAATACAATCAAGACAGGCATTTTCACCACCAATGTTGCCCTTTTATAGCCATGCCTACTTCCCTCCCACTACCCACCTCCTCCCTAACTCCTGGAAACAATTCATTTGTTCTTTATTTCTATAATTTTATCATTTCAAAAATGTTATATAAGTGAAATCATTTAAATAACTTTTGGGGATTGATTTTTCCACTTAGCAGAATTCTCTGGAGATTTATCCAAGTTGTCACATGTATCAATAGTTCATTGTTTTTCCTGGCTGCGTAGCTCAGTTAGCTAGAGCATTGTCCCGCTACACCCAGGTTGTAGGTTTGATCCCCAGTCAGGGCATATACAAGAAACAAAATATTTAAAAATAAATAAATAAATGTTCTTTTTTTTTTTTTTAAGAGAGAGAAGTATTGATATGAGAGCAGAACATTGATCAGCTGCTGCCTACATGCCGCCTACTGGGGATCGAGTCCTCAGCCCAGGCATGTGGCTTGACTGGGAATTGAACCGGCAACCTTTCAGTGCACAGGATGACGCCCAACCTATTGAGCAACACCAGCCAGGGCACTGCTCATTCTTTCTTATTGCTGAAGAGAATTCCATAGTATGGATGTATCACAGCCTGTTAAATTGTCCCCTTGTTAGATAAAATCTGGGTTTCCAGTTTTTGGCAACAAAAAAAGTAGCTATAATTTTCATGTGTGTATTTTTGTGAGCTTAAGTCTTCATTTCTCTGGGATAAATGCCCAGGAGTTATATTATTACTTTTAGTCCCTATGTCAACATTCTCAGTAAAGATTCTTATTTCTGTTTTACAAACAGGGAAATAGAAGAGAGGGCTTGAGAAACCTGACCAAGGTCACACGGACAGAAAGCAGCCAGGATCTGAATCCAGATAATGACTGCCTTTCATGACCACTCACATTCTGAACAAGTCCTACCAAAGCTCATTTGCCAGAGCTAATTTTTAGAACACAGGGCTAGTACATTTTAAGATGAGAATATATAAATACGGGGTGTTATCACCAATTAACTTTACTTCTGTGAGTCTGAGACTGTGAAGAAAATAATAGCACATACCTTTGTATAGGTTGGAATTGAGACCTGGTCAAAACCTCAGCATCCTTTCCAAAGCTTTGTCTCGTTTGGACCTTTCCCTCACCTGAAAGCATACAGCAAATGTATTTTTTACCTGAGTTTTGCCAACCCAGATTATTCCTTTCATTCCCTTCACTTTCCCTGGGTCTTGTTCAGATGAGAAATACTCTGATAAACAGAAGTGCTTCCTAATTGGGTTTGGATTGAGTGCCGCAGAAGGGGTTTTTGTTCCAAAAGTTTGTTTTTCTTGCTCAGAGGGGAGAACTCTGACACTCAGAATACAAGCAAGCCATTTACTGGCCTTCCAATCATAACCTCACAGTTATTTTTGGAGACAAATGTTGTTTTGTCTTTTCAGGAAGGCAAATTGATCTGGTTCCTGTCAACAGACACCAGGGGGCGTTGAAACCAAGAACTGTTTGTTCACTAAAGAGCCCAAATAGGAAAAACCATTAACTGAGCTTTCCCAGAGTGCTAACTGCCTCTTGGCCATCAAAAACCACTTAAGGAGTAGGGCTGGGGTCTCGAGCACTAAGGAGCTCATTCAACTGTCTTCTGTCCTCCCGGATGCTCAGAGATGCTGTGCAGACCTCTGGGCAGACAGGGCCAGTGTCCTTTTTCCTTCCCACCACTGGACTGCTGTGGCTTACAGAGACGGGGGCAGAGCAGCCTGCCCTACTGGCAAATGCTCATGACCCCCCTGCCATCCCTTAGGTCCAGGTAGTCTGGTGGGCAATGGGGAGGCCACAAGAACAACGCCACCGTAAGCAGGTACCAAGGAGCTCTGAAACCCTATCAGTGAAGGCACTGGGGCTCTTCCTGTGACCCTCTTTCAAACACTAGAAAGCATAAATGAATTCCTAATAAGCACAATTCAGAGCAGGAGGGGAATTTAGAGATTTTAGAGTCTGACCATCTCCTTTACTTTATACAAAGGGACAGTGCAACCTCGGGTGAAGTGACTTGCCCAAGGTCATACAGAAAGAAAAAGCATCAGTGGCAGAAGTGGTCTTGGAAGCCAGCATGTGTCCAATTGTTACCCTTGTTTCACTGCCTGGTGTGGAGAGCATATGTATCAGAGCCCGAGCAGAAAAGGGGGAAGAGAGGGCTGAAAGAATGAAACAGTAGACATCAGAGGCTTCTTCATGTACTGCAGACGTCTGGATGGAACTAGCCCAGGTTTTCTGACCTGTCTGCCCCAAACTTCTCTATTCCACTTGACCCTCTTCCAAACATAAGCGAAGTGGCCGTGTGCCGGCCAGGCTCACCCAGAAAGTGATCATGGATAGAGGCTCCTCAAAAAGAAGTGGGTGGCCCAAGACCTAGGTCTGTGGACTTTTAATACTTATTATCCTGAGTATATAACTGTTCATCTAAAACAGGGTGGGGAACCTTTTTTCTGCCAAGGGCTATTTGGATATTTATAACATCATTCACTTAATATAAATTTATGTTGCTATGAAAAAAGCTCCTAGATTTATTGAATTTCTAGTCCACCTGCAGTTGCCCTGGCAGGGCCAGACCAAATGATTTCCAGGGCTTTATACGGCCCACGGGCTGGACGTTCCCCACCCCTGAATTCTATAAGCTTACAGCTTCTTAAAATGCTTCCAGCTTTGATTAGAGCCTGGATCAGGTTAGAGATGGAAGCTGGAGTGTGCAGCAGGAGGAAGAGGAGTTCACAGCCCAAGCCCGCCCTGCCTGGCTGGAGGCAGAGTGTTGAGACATGACTGTGGACAGCTACATGTCTTGGTAGGTGGATAACTCTGGTTTTAAAACAGATGATTACATACCTTAAAAGAGTGAAAGTGTATAATTTTTAAATGTCTGTATCAGAATCAGTGATTCACTTATATCTTGTCTTGTGATCCAAGGTTAACTTGCCATGTAACAGAAAGCAGTTGCTAAGCTATATAGAACCGAAGCCCTCCCAAGGGGAGGATGTTATGCTGCTGACTCTGCACTACTGGCTGTTATTAACTCTTTGCTAAGATGCAAAGCAAGCAAAGGAAAATGACGGTGAAACTCTGCCTTTTAGAGTGGAGAAGGACATAGCAACCAAGTTCTAGTTTTGGTTGTGTCAATAACTAGCTCTGTGGGCTGGGCAAATCCTTCAGGTCAGCTCAGCAAAGATAACTGATCACCTAGTATGTGCCATGAAGAAGCCTTAAATCTAGTGAAAGACTAGAGGGAAAAAAGAAACAACAACTTCAACACATGCCATAAGAACTCAAGGGGAGGTATAGATAACATGTGGATGTCTTGAGGCAGGTGAGGGGCAAGAGGTTCAGTCTAATGAAGGGAAATCACTGAGCCTAGGTTTTCTAATTTGTAAAATGGAAAGCCTGGAGACATTATCTCTAAGGACCGCTCCAACTCCAAACATCCGTGTTTCGACACAAAGTGAAGGCAAGTGATTCTCAAAGGAATCTGCCCTAATGGCTATTACCAGAGACTTGACATTGAGCAAATGCCTCTTGCATTCCTTCGAAGTCCTCTTCTATGGGACTTGAGGTCTACAAAAGAAAGAAAGGAGGCTCAGTGGAGGCAGACATATCATCAAAAGGTTGAGAATTTCCAGATGTCCTTAAACATGGAAAATCTTCGTAAGATTCCTGCATATTTTATAGAAAAAGAATAAGCCTGCTTTGCAGACACTAAGTACTTATTTGTACTCTATGTTCCTCCTCAACAAGGCCTCCCCCCACCTTCCATTGTAACGTGACTTTCCCTTCATCATTATACACTCCTCACCCCAACTTTCCAACAAAGATGTTCTGATTCCTGGGAGCTTTATCAGAAGAGCCAAAGAGCTGAAAAAATGGCCCAGACTGCAAAGCTATTCCATGGGATAAGAAGTCAGAACACTGGTTCCTTTGAAGGGAGGCAGTGATGGGGAGGAGGCACAAAGTGGGTCTTTTCCGGAACCAATAATGTTCTGTTTCTTGATCTGGGTGCTGGTTACATGTATGTATTCACTTTGTGAAAGTTCATGACTGAACACTTGAGATCGGTGTACTTTTTCTATGTTATACTTTTTATATATGTATATACTCTGTATATATACATATGTATTCTATCTTTTTATTAAAGATTTTCAGCCCCAGCTGGTTTGGCTCAATGGATAGAGCATCAGCCTATGGACTGAAGGGTCCCAGGTTCGATTCTGATCAAGGGCACATGCCCGGGTTGTGGGCTCGATCCCCAGTGGGGGGCATGCAGGAGGCAGCCGATCAATGATCTCTTTCATCATTGATGTTTCTATCTCTCTCTCTCCCTCTCCCTTCCTCTCTGAAATCAATAAAAATTTATTTTTTAAAAAAGATTTTCATACTGTCCCAGTCTGCTCACAGTAAAATCAAGAATGTTTAAAGGATTAATAATGGAAACTGCTCAGAGTTTTCAGAAGCGCAGACAAGTGGAAGTAATGCTTTTTGATGCATCACTGAATTCTTGTCAGTCAAATGCTGTGACTGACATGGACGATCTTCTCTTTCCTCTGCCCCACCTTCCATGCTGGTAAAAGGTCTAACAAGGGTGGCAGATTAGTGAGGAGCTGAGGTAGAAATTGTATAAGTAGATCCAATGAGTTTCATTTTATAAAAGAAAATACTCTGTACAAATAGGTTCTTGCTAAAGCTAGATTCCCGAGAAAACCTAGTGTGCTGGACAGATTCACATTCACTGAGGGACCCTTGCTCTAATTCTGGCTCTCCCACCACCAAGCCCAGTAGGCCAGGGCTAATTCCCCACATCTCCGATCACCAGTTCTTCTTTACAGAAAAATAATAGCAGATCCTTTTTCTGCCCCCAGAAAGGATATGTGAATTAGGTAAGATAAAGTGCTTTGAAAAAAGTACATGGTGCTATATAAATAAATGCAGGGACCATGCATTTGGGAGAAAATACATTTGACCTTCATTCTCAAAAGTCTTATTTTTCAGACTTTTTTTCAAAGTGCATGAAAATACTGATTAAGTTGACATTATATACTTTAATATGTAAGCTATTTTTCCCCAATAGAAATAATTTAAAAGGAATAAGGCACCCCACTGGCATGGCTTAGTGGTTGAGCCTCGACCTATGAACCCAGAGATCACAGTTCGATTCCCAGTCAAGGGCACATGCCTGGGTTATGGGCTCAATCCCCAGTAGGGGGCATGCAGGAGGTAGCCAATCAATGATCTTCTCACATCATTGATGTTACTCTCTCTCTCCCCCTCTCCCTTCCTCTCTGAAATCAATTTTTAAAAATTTTTTTTAGCCTTAACCAGTTTGGCTCAGCAGATAGAGCATCGGCCTGCGTCCCCAGTAGGGGGCATGCAGGAGGTAGCCAATCAATGATCTTCTCTCATCATTGATGTTATTCTCTCTCTCCCCCTCTCCAAAATCAATTTTTAAAATTTTTTTTAAAGGAATAAGGCGATGGAGAAAGCTGAAATGTGCCTTACTCTGAACTGTAAATTCTTACCTCTAGAGCTAAGTTTTCTTGAGCCGTTGGGGAGTAAGAATACTCATTGTCTGGTGTTAAAAATTCATTTCTTATGTCCTCCGAAGACTCCGGTGAACCAATTGATGGCCAGGACTGATCCTATTGGTAATGTAGGACATTGCTTTTAAGTTGGTGCTCGTGGTAAAGAACACCAACTTAAAGGCAATGTCCTACAGTGGGATGCAGTGTGAATAACAGGGCATCTAACATTACCCGGCAGTTAGGGTGACCCTCTTTGAGCTGGCCCTTCCTGCCTGCTTGCACTCCTGCCTCTGCCCACCTTCCCCACCGCGAGCTGTGAACAGAAGGACCATCCTCAGTCTCAGTGTCCTCACCTGCACAATGAAGGGGAAAAGGGCTGGGCAACCTTTCTGCTCCAAAATTCTCAGAAAGAAGAAAGGCCCTGGACACCTCAAGCTGAGGACTGAATTTAAGTACCCTGATCCTCGCTCATAGCCGCAGTCTATATGCTGGCATAATCCTCCAGATGAGAAGGCTGAGACTGCTCGGAACCGGGGAGTCCCTCGGGTGTTGTTACAGTTTAAAGGCAAGGGGAGGATCATAATTTTTAAAATAGCAATGCAACCTCAATAATGAAAGCAAAAAAAAAAATTAATATTATTTTTTGTTAATCCCACCCAAGGATATTTTTTTCTGGGTGTTGTTACAGTTTAAAGGCAAGGGGAGGATCGTGATTTTTAAAATAGCAATGCAACCTCAATAGTGAAAGCAAAAAAAAAATTTTTTTAATTATTTTTTGTTAATCCCACCCAAGGATATTTTTTTCATTAATTTTTAGAGATTAGAACCAGGACTTCTTGGTTCATGGGTCAATGTTCAACCACTGAGCCACACGGGCCAAGCCCCAAAATTAAACATTTTAACATAACAGTTATTTCTTCAGCATCTCTGCTCCACCCCTTCCCTTTCTGCTCATTTCTCTACGTTCAGGCCCTGATCCCCCCATGGCAGGCAACTGGCTCCTTTCCTCACCTTCAATCATTCCTTTGCAGAGGTTTTGTGGTTTATTTCCTTGGACAATGCTTTTGCCACATGTTTCCTCTTCCTGGGCACTTAGTAGCTGCTCTCCTATCCCTCAGATCAAATTGAAACTTCTCAGGCAAGCCTGGCCTCCCATGCCTTCCCCACTTCCCTGACAGACCTGCTTCTCTAGCCAAGCCAGTCTGCTTAATACAGCATGTCCTTCTGGCCGGCATGTGATAGAAGGAATAAATTATCCTGTGAGTGGTTTATGTGCAGTGTTAAAATACTGTAGTAAGTTCTTTGAAAGACCTAAAATGTTATCACAATTGTATTTTTATAATGTTTCATTCTCGATTGCTATTTATATTCTTTAAGTGATTCTGGCCCCATGTCAATGATGATAAAAAATTTTGGTTTCTTAGTCTGGCTGGACTGTGGCCCAATTGCAGGCTTCAAGGATGTGTTAAGCCCCTGAAGCAAAGCTGTAACCTCAATGCAAATGCTAGGAAATGACTGAACCCCACAGGTCCTGCTGAGGCGCAGTTGTCAGGCATGAACATATTCCTTCCACTGAGTTGAGAGCTGAATCTGGGTCTTAGAGGACATCCAGGTGAAGGTGCTCTCATCATAATCCTGTTCTTGCTTGTCCTTCTCCAATCTGGCCTCAGTCACCTGCTGGGCCACCAGCTTTGGTATCTAACCCACGCTGTATTTCCAAGTTGGTCCTGTCCACCCAACTAGATGGGAAGCTCTAGAGCCAGCGCTGAACCTGACGCTTGTCTGAGTTCCCCCCAAGCTCCAAGAGACACAATGCTTTGAGTTGAACTGACTCAAAAAGTAAAGGGCAGGGAGGTAAAGACTTCATTCACGTCAGAGACATGAGGGCACATACTCCAACAAGAAAGTACTACTTCAGATATTATTTCCATGTCATAATACATAGCAACACCTCATTTCTACTTTATTAGGTCCTTGGATTCAACCTGGCTCTCTGGAACATATTACTTACGTTGCAAGATTTCTCAGTGACCACAGACGCTTCAGAACGTGCTTGAAAGACTTCACTATGCTCTGGCTCCTCACTTTTTCTGGGGGACGGGTGACTGATACCTAATGATTATGACACAACCAAGGCCATAGTCATTCTGAGGTATTCAGATGGCATGAAAGGGCAAAGGGAAGTGTGAGAGAAGAGATGCATGCATATTCTGCTCAGCATGGCCACGTGGTCAGGTTCAGTCTAGAGCTGGGGTGGGGAACCTTGTTTCTGCCAAGGGCCATTTGGATATTTATAACATCATTCGTGGGCATACAAAATTATCAACTTAAAAATTAACCTGCTATATTTGGTTAAACATTTAATTAACTCACCCTCTAATGCAGGGGTCCTCAAACTACGGCCCGCTGGCCACATGCAAATACAAATACTGTATTTGTTCCTGTTTTGTTTTTTTACTTCAAAATAAGATATGTGCAGTGTGCATAGGAATTTGTTCATAGTTTTTTTTTAAACTATAGTCCAGCCCTCCAACGGTCTGAGGGACAGTGAACTGGCCCCCTGTTTAAAAAGTTTGAGGACCCCTGCTAATGCCTTGGGCAGAGCCAGACCAAATGATTTCATGAACCTTATATGGCCCATGGACCAGACATTCCCTACCTCTGGTCTAGAGAGTGGAGACTGTTAGCATAGCCTGGCCCCAACATGCATTCCTGAATCATCCACCCAGTCAAAAATGGGGCTTGACAAACTCTAAAAAGTACCAAAAAAACCAAAACAAAACAATAAAAAACCCGTAAGCCAATAGATTTTCTTCCTAAAATAGATGATCATTTTAGATGTTCCTTTGACTTGTAAACAACTGTGAAATAACATCCTATGCCTTGATTACAAGCAAATTACCAGGTGGAAATACACAGCCTGCAGTTTTAACGTAGAAATCTATAAAGTGACGAGAGCCAAAAGTTCCTCTGGCATAGACTCTCTGAGAGCCAGTGGAATTTTTCCAGCTTAAAGTGCAATACAAAGAAATGGGCAGTAGGAAGGGCTGTCCACCACTGCCCTCAGGTAGGAAAGGTTCAATTCCTTGCTAGGTTACACCCAGCCCCAGGTTCAGTGCATGGGGATTATTTTACTGCATTTGAAAAAATGGGTCTGCTCCAGCAGTAGAAAAACTCAAGAATCTCCGGATTTCTTTACCTGTGGGAGGAACAGTGGGATCAAAAGAGTATGTTGCTTTCCCCTCGAATGCAGGGTTCCCAGGCAGTTGGGAAGGAGAGGACCAAGCAAAGGAAACATTCCAGGAGGTTTTCTTAGCTTTGAGAGCTGATTATGTGATCGAGTTCGCCTACCCCAATTCCTCCAACTGAACTTACTGGGGAAGCTTCCAGGCTGTCTGCCACGCTGGTCGTCCTCACGGTCACCACTGTCGGTTTTGTCACGCTTGCCATTCCCTCCTGGCGCATTTTCCCTGGAATACTCTACAACGCGCCGCCAAGTCACATTCTCAGCGTCCCTAATGGGAGGCTGCAGCAAGGGATCAGGCTCGTTTTCAGCCTCAGCCTCATTCTCTAAAGTCGAACTACTCTGAGGATGCCAAGGAGGTACAGCCAGCTGTCCAGCAGCTGCTTTCTCCGCCATTTTTTTAACCTCCACTGGATACAAAAGAAAGTCGTTATTTAAAACAGCACCATGGACATTGGAAACAAAAGCTTTTGATTCTTAAAGAGCTATATAATACTTTTATAGCTCATATTCTCACAAAAATATGCCTTTTTAGAATTGCATCACCTGTAGCTTACCCTGTTTTGCTTGAAGAGGGGAGAGAATTGATGACAGAGTGAAGACAGGGCAAAAGAATGTTAGTTACAGCCCTTGTTACTGAATTCCAGGCAGCAGAAAACTTGTAGATGGACCTTCTTGCTCTGAAGATGTCACAAGAAAATGACACCTAAAGCCCCCAGTCTGTAGAGATTCCACAGGATTCTGTTTGAGTTTGTCTAGGCTTTCTAGGCCATGATGAGTTCATATTTTGGGGGTGTGCATATATGTGTGTGTTTTCATTCCAAATGTTCTATACTTTTGCTAATGTACTTAGCATTAGTGTTTTTTTTTTTAAAAAAAAGCATAAACATCATGCCTAGCTGGTTTGACTCAGTGGTAAGAGCATCAGCCTGCGGACTGAAGGGTCCTAAGTTCAATTCCGGTCAAGGGCACATGCCTGGGTTTCGGGCTCAATCTCCAGTGACGGGGGAGTGGGGATGGGGGTGCAGGAGGCAGCTGATCAATGACTCTCTCTCATCATTGATGTTTCTATCTCTTTCTCCTTCTCCCTTCCTCTCTGATATCAATAAAAATATTTTTTAAAAGGCATGAACATCGTATCCTTTTAAGCTTACAAGATAAAACTGACACAAAAGGATAATGCCCACAGGATATGTGAAAGTGACACTGCAGGGTTTCTAAGTTAATAACGGTGCGTCTCAAATACCCATATTGTATATGTTTACTACACTTGTTATGTAATTTACATCTGAATATAATAGAAACATTTCTTATATGGTCTAGAAGTGAAAAAAAGCATTTCTCTTCTGCAGTTAGTAATCAGAAAGGCTTTGCTTTTAAAATGGAACAATCTAACGGAAGAAAAGAATGTGGGAGGACAGTGCAGTATAGGCTGTGTACTTAAGAGATAACAACCAGGTTAGAAATATACTTTAAACTTCATTATGTCCAACAGAACCCATGACTTTATACTCACTTTTCCATTTTAAGTGTCCCTTTCCAACATCTTCATTATTTCTTGACTTTGTATTATATATTTCAGAAGACACAGATTCCATGTTGATCCTAAATTGTATAGGTTTTTTGAAGGGGGAGGGGAGCAGGGTGGACACAAACACATCAGTTTGCTCAAGTTCTTGACACCAACGATCTTAGCCCACCAGCCCACCCAGAGGACTGAACCATTCCTGGGGTTGCACTGACTCCTTCTTGCCACCAGAGGGCGCCAGACTCCTCAACATTAAGCTAGCAAGACTCCTTACCTGGCAGAACCCTGAACAGGGGTGGCTGTCACTGGTGGTCCCTTTGGGTGGTTTGACATGGTGAAGAGTGAACTATTCAGCTGTGCCACTTTGGCTTGGGCACTGGACTCTCCAGGCTGTCCCTGGCTAAGACATGAAAGGACTGGGTCAGATGGTCTCTTGGTTCTTTTTAATTTCCAAATTCAGATTTCAAGATAAAAGTGCTCTTGGGAGATTTTCAGAAGTAGAAGAAACCAATTAAAATACAGTTTCACCAGACAGAATCCTGGTCCTTAGGCTGTTGCAGAGCCCCCTCTTCCCCTCAATGCCACAGAACACAAGTGATGGCTCAGTAACTGCTCCTGCCCTTCGATCAGAATTCTCTGGTTAACAGCCCCACCTACATATCAGTGAGAGTACAATAACTAACCTTTGTAAAGATAGACTTAAGGCACCAGGGATCTTAAAGACATTCCGAGATCGTAAGCCTAGTTTCATTGAGTTCTAGACCCTGACCTGCCACTGGCTGTCTGACTTTCACAAACTTCACTCTCTCTGGGCCAAGCAAGGTTTCCTCATCTGCAAAACAAGGGAGTCTCTTTTCCTCTCAATATCCCCTGATAGTGTATTTTTTTATTGTCCATTACACTAACTCTAAAAAATGTATGTGATCTGTGCATGCATATGAATCCCGCCATCCAGAATGCCCTCTTCTCCCACTGCACCAGGCAGCAGAGAGACTGTTGGCATTGGAAAGGTCAGAGCTGATCAGCTTCTTTAAAGAGCAATTTGGTGCTCTAACCGGTGTGGCTCAGTGGATAGAGCGTTGGCCTGCGGACTGAAGGGTCCTGGGTTCAATTTCGGTCAAGGGCATGTACCTGGGTTGCGGGCACATCCCCAGTAGGGGGCGTGCAGGAGGCAGCTGATCGATGTTTCTAACTCTCTATCCCTCTCCCTTCCTCTCTGTAAAAAATCAATAAAATATATTTTTTTAAAAATAAAATAAAAAATAAAGAGCAATTTGGCAACAGCTGTCAAGAATGTTTAAGACATTCAAACCCTTGACCGTGCTTCTGGGAATCTATCAAGAACCTGACCCGAAATCTAGAAAAAGCTTTACTGACAAGTCATTATGGTCCTATTCATAACAGAAAAAGTAATGAAACAACCCAAAATTCAACAACGGGGGAAATCCAACAATTTCAAAGTAAGTTTACATTACAAGGGTGTTTTTAATAATGTTCTAATGTAAAGTGAAATATCAGGGTGAATACCATTATAATTAAAATTATATAATCAGGATATAATCAAAATACATGCATGTATTATAAAGTTGTACACCTGAAATCTATATTGTTAATCAATGTTACTTTTAAAATATATTTTTATTGATTTCAGAAAGGAAGGGAAAAGGAGAGAGAGAGAGAAACATCAATGATGAGAGAGAATCATTGATCGGCTGCCTTCTGCACACCCCTACTGGGGATCAAGCCCACAACCTGGGCATGTGCCCTTGGCTGAAATCGAACCTGGGACCCTTCAGTCCTCAGGCTGATGCTCTATCCACTGAGCAAAACCAGCTGGGTGGGGCTCAATGTTACCTTAACAAATTTAATTTTTTTGAAAATATACACATGTGCCCTAACTGGTTTGACTCAGTGGATAGAGTGTAGGCCTGTGGACCAAAGGGTCCTGGGTTCGATTCCGGTCAAGGGCATGTACCTTGGTTGCAGGCACATCCTCAGTAGGAGGTGTGCAGGAGGCAGCTGATCGATGTTTCTCTCTCATCAATGTTTCTAACTCTCTATTCCTCTCCTTCCTCTCTGTAAAAAAATCAATAAAATAAGGGTAAAAAGAAAATATATACATGTATATAATTTTTGTTTTTTAAATGTATACAAAAAAGACTAGGTGGACTGGTAGCAAAATGTTAAGCTTTGGTCTGTTTTTTGTTCTTTTGGAGAAAGAGGGTGGAGCTGAGCAGGGAAGGCCACAACCCTAGTTTAGCTTTGTTATCTAATGGCTATACTGGAACCCCATCTGCCTCTATCAATGACATGAGTGCTAAACCTTCTGATGTCAGGGAGGTGGTTTTTCAATAATTCCCTTCTTTGCCTCAGCTGATTTTGCTCAGTGGTTAGAGCATCAGCCCATGGACTGAAGGGTCTTGGGTTTGATTCCGGTCAAGGACACACACCTTAGTTGCAGGCTTGAGCCCCAGCTGTGGGCGTGTGCAGGAGGCAACCAATAGATGTGTCTATCTCACATCGATGTTTCTGTCTCTCCCCCTCCCTTCCACTCTCTCTCAAAATCAATGGAAAAATATCCCCAGGTGAGGATTAACAAATAACAATAATTCTTCCCTTCCTAAAGATAAAATATACTAAATTAAAGTGTCTGGTTTTCTTTGATTTTCCCTTACTGTACATATTTACCAACATGGAAGGCGCAGCAGACATTGTCATTAGTCTCAGTCACCACTGAGGGAGAGAATAAAAAATCTTTCTTCGAGTACTAATTTCAAAGCTGTAGATAAATGCTGTCATTTAACCACAGAAAAGGAAAACTAAAATTGACATACTAGTCTATCTTGAAAACCATCTAATGCTCCTTTAATAATTCCCCTCCCCAACCATAAAATTATTTTCGTTGCTACTTCATAACTGTAATTTTGCTACTGTTATGAATCATAATGTAAATATCTGATATGCAGGATGTATTTTCATTGTTACAAATTGAACATAATTAAAGCATAGTGATTAATCACAAAAACAATATGTAATTAAAAAAAAATAATTCCCCTGATGCAAAATAAATTAGCTTTGCCTAAGTTCTTAAAAACCCAGGGTACACATGTGCTCTTCTTCCAGTGATTTGTGCTGACTCGACTTCATTTAACTGATCCGGCTGGAAATCAGAGGTTGCAGGGTAACAATGAGAGTGTTCGACGCCCTCTGTCTGCCCTCCGGTCAGTGACACTCATTTTGAACCGAACAGTTTGATTTCTGGAGCACTGGCAAAGGGAAGGCCTGCCATTTCTTATAAGAAAAAGCATCGGGCAGCTTTGGAAAGGCAAGGTGCTTTGCTTTTGCCAGCTGATGAGCTCTGATTCCCCGACCAGGTGCTTTACCTTTGCTGTCTCCTACAAGTTCCCATTACACTGCTCTTTTTGCTCACTGAACAGAGGGAACCTGCCAGATCTGTTTCCGTGTCACTAATCTTCGTCACTCACAGACTCTTTGTCGCTAGACGTATGAAGATCATTAAGTGACCTCAGAGTCACAGGGGAGTCTAAAGGCTTGGGATACAAAGGACAATAGCACGGTAACCCACCTGCAAGTACTGTCTCTGGCTCCTTGAGTGGGCTGGAATTGTTCAGGCTTGGGGATACAAAGGACAATAGCATGGTAACCCACCTGCAAGTATTTTGGTTTCTGTTTCCTTCCGAACTGTCTCTGGCTCCTTGAGTGGGCTGGAATTGTTCACCTGGGCTCTGTTCTCCAGGGCCACAAAGAGTCAGCAGATTGAAAAGAAGTAAACATGTGTCAGTGTTTTGATGAAGGAATTCTCCTCTTTATTCTCCATTCTGTTTTTAAAACTATTCTTGCTAAATGTGTAAAAATAACCAGATCTACCAAGATAATTTCCCTTTGCATGTTTCACATGTACTACATCATCTCTTCACATCTCTTTACATAGAAATCTTGGCCCTCAGCAACCCAACCCAGACAGGGCACAAATGAAGAATGAGCAGAAAAACAGACATTAAAGATCCAACAACTCTCCCCTCTATTATATTAAGGCAGCAGGCTTTGGGGCAGGGACTGAATGATTAAGCAATTTCAAATGGGGATTAATACTTGCCCAAGATACCATAATTAGTAAGTTGAATCATGTAAAATGGTCAATGCTTGATTATTTTGATCTATAAAACAGCAATTTCATGTGGTTCAACAGAAAAGGACATGAGCTTTGTATTGGGTTTGGAATGGAAGGTGAAGAGTAAGTACCTTGGCATTCCATCCTGGAGGCCTTATTTCCCAAAGCTAAGAGGAGCCCCCCCAGAGCTGAGGACCTCCCTATGAATTGGCTGTATGTATGTCCATCCTGGCATATGGGTTAGGGGCAATGTTGAACCCGGCTCCAGGTCCTGCTCAGATGCCCTACCTTCCACTTCTTAGCTTTACCTGATGGCTTTTTTCTGATGAATCCCCAGTGCTTTCTTCAGAGACTTGAATGAAAGCAGTAAAAGGTTTCCAGTCACAGCTACTTCTTCCCCTGGACCTTCTGCCAAAATGTTCCCCTTGAAAGTCTCTCACTGTTCTTGGAAACCTTGCTAGGGTCGGGCAATTGCCACCCGCATCTGGCCTCTGGCTTGGCAAGACAGGAGGAATATAAACGGAAGATGGGGGGCCCACCGCCGCAGGCAAGTGAGAGAGGTTAGGAAACATTCTTGAAGAAGCCCACAGAGACATGCACTCCTCCTGCTCCTTCAGCCTCCTCTCATACTCGTTGAATTTCTGCTTGATTTTCTCATTATTCTGGTTCGCCATTGCCTGTGCGATCTTTACATCTAGTATACACTTACTGATGTACATGTCGGTCTTGGACCACTTGCTCACCTTGCACTTGGCTTCTCTGGCTGGCTTAGGTGGGCTGGGGGAACTAAGTGAACCATTTTGCTGGTCCCAGTCCTCAAAGGAGACCTCTGTGTCAGCTTCCGAAGAGCTCTCACTCTTTTCACAAAAGCAGCATGCCTCTCTCTCCATCTTTTCCAACTCCTCTTCCAGGGACGTCAGCTCACCTCCCTGGTTTTGGCTGGCCCCCTCCAGAGATAAACCAACTCCTGGGGGCTCTTTCTCTTTGTCACCTTCCGTGTCCAGGCAGCGGGAGTAGATTTCGTTCATTTCGAAGCTGCAAAGGCTTGACGGCCCTGAGCTGGGGCTCCTGGCCACAAAGCAAGCAGGAGGAGCAGCATCTTGCCTCTGAGCCTCCTTGGCCATCAGACTGGGATCCGGGACCTGAGGATCTGGTGTGGCCTTCTCGCTGGGATTCCTTGGTGAATGGAGCTGACTGCCTGTTGAAAGGAGCAGTAACATGCAAACGGTTGAGTGATCACATGCAGCAGCTAAGCGCCTTGGTGGTTGCTCGAGTGACATGAGAAAGCAGAAAGCAGCTTTCTGTTTTCCCACTCCCTTCCCAGGTGTGGAAGACTACCAGACACACTCACAGCGGGGCAAAGGGTGTTTCTAACTAAGAGAAAGTTCCCATTTTGACATGGGCTGAGGTAGAAAATCTGGGAGGGACCAAACCCTGGGGGAAATGTTCTAAGCTTAAGGTGCAGTGTGCTCAAAACATGCATAACTGCCTGGCCAGTGTGGTTCAGTGGTTGAGCATCATCCTATGAACCAGGAGGTCATGGTTCAATTCCCAGTCAAGGCACATGCTCAGGTTGCGAGCTTGATCCCCACTGGAGGGGCAGCTGATTGATGATTGATTCCTCTTTCATCATTGATGTTTCTATCTCTCTCCCTCTCCCTTCCTATCGGAAATCAATAAAAATATATATATTTTAAAAACATGCATAACTGGACACTTCCACTTAGGCTCCGTGGTTGTGGTTCAGGAGCTCACACCTGGGATTGTCATTCCAGTTTTGCTCTTGAGTCCAGCAAGTTCCCAGAGCCACATATATACCCTCTGAATCCCCCTTTGTTAGTCATATGTGGCCTGAAACAGTTATACAAGAATCCTTTGATAAAAGCAAAAGCAAAGTAGATTATAAGGGCAAGACACAAAGGGATTAGCAACAAAAGGACCAGCAGAAATCTCTGATAAGAAGACTAAGGTGATACTCTCAGAGGAACTCATTGTTTTCAAAATGAACCTGATAATCTGAAGCACTTCTTCCTGATTATCTCTGACCTTTTTTTAAGATCAGAATTCAAGATAGATAGTTTAGATATTTACTTGGTACTAATCAGGAAATACATGTTATTTATATTTAAAATGTACTTAGTTATATTTAATGACCTCATTCCTGAGTTCCTTTTTCATTAACATAGCTTTCATTTCTATTACTGCAGCAGTTTAATCATGTAAATAAACAGAAGGTTGGTTCCAGTAGACACTATTACTAAATCAGTACTTAAACATCCTTGGGCCTCTGCCTCTTTGAATTTGAGTACAATATATTTTACTGTGAGACTGTACAGTGAAAAGAAAGGAGTTTCTGGAGATGATAAGGACTTAAAATATAAAGTTATAATTACTGCTTAACACAAATGAGCAACTTATCTACAAAAGCAGTAATTACTATTTATTGCTTTGAAGAATATAGCAAAGACAGGGAAATAAAGGAAATTTCTTTGGAATAAAATGGAGCACCTCTTACATAAAAGTCTAATGTATATTATAAAATTCTAATCTTGTTGCATTCCTTCTATTCCTACAGAATGTATTATTCAGTTTAAAAAGAAAACATGCATGCCCGGCCGGTGTGGCTCAGTGGATTGATGGAGCATCATCTTATGCACTAAGAGGTTGATGGTTCCATTCCATGTCAGGGCACATGCCTGGATTTTGGGTTTGATCTCCAGTAGGGGGTGTGCAGGACGTAGCCAATCGATGTTTCGCTCTCACTGATGTTTCTCTCTCTCTCTCTCTCTCATCAATAAAAACATATTTTAAAAAACATGCATAACTGTCAGGACATGCAAATTACAGGCCCCTGACTCTGCTCTCATTGATGTTTCTCTCTCTCTTTCTCATCAATAAAAACGTATTTTAAAAAACATGCGTAACTGTCAGGACATGCAAATTACAGGCCCCTGACTCTTAAGGACTAAACTCACAGACTTCTTTACACACAAAAGAGTTCAAATATTCATGTCAGTTAAAGTTATGCTCTTGGTGAGCATTTGATAAAAGTAGACACTGCCTAAGACTCCACTGTATCATGGGAACAATAAGACCTCAATAAGTAACACCAAGACTGACCAGCCATCACCCCTGGTTGATGGTGTACAGCTCGCAGAGAACAGGACAGAGGAGCCAAAGCAGTGAGAGCTTGGAGAACCACTCTGGAGGCCTCTGTCCCTGTCCAGAGAGAGTCAGAGAGAGCGGTCACGTGGATTGGGTTCCAGCTCTGGAATCTTGGGTAACGAGCTCTGGAATCTGGAGTGAGCCACGACCTCTCTGACCCTTGCTTTTCTCATTTTTCTCATTTGGAATGTGAGCGCATTAAGGATGACTGCAAGGCGCTTTCCAGCTCTGAATTCAAGGTTTAGAAATGAACTAAAAAGCAAAATATTAGAAGAAACACCAAAATATTAACAAATTATTTCTAAGTGGCAGAATTAAAATGCTAAGTAATTTTATTCTTTGTACTATCTCCATTTTTTATAAGGAGCAGATAATAGTTTTAAATTAAGAAATCATCGTTTTTATTTGTGAAGCAATTAGATAAATTCCTAAGGATAATCATGCTAGAAATTACCTGGTTGCTACTGCTTAGTTCTGGATCCAACCAAGGTGTATATGGAGGTCAAAATTTTTAATTTAATAATTTCAAGGATCTTGATTTTTCTCTCCTAAGGCACCCATCTTTTCCCAGTGTGAGTGACATGTACAGTTTGGAGGAATTGATTAGTTGCAACCTGTGACTCTCAGAACACAGTCATGCCAAACCTGTGGGGTAAGGCCATACCCGCTTCCTTCAGCTCTTTTATTTCCAAGTCAGGGTTCTCTTTCAGATGTTCTGAAGTCAGTCCTAGATAGACACCGACATCAGGATGGCCTTCATATCTCTGCACCCTGGGGCTCTCAGTTGGCTGAGTTCTCTGGGCTCCAATCAATTCCTGTGACAAGGGAAAAATTATCAAGGACATTTGCAATCATCTGCATGTCACTGGTGTTTCTGAAACAGATCTAGGTATCAAATAAACTCCCTCTTACTCCTGTTGAGTAGACTGACTATATTCCCAATTAGCTAATTCATTGTTATTATTATTTTATTTTTTTAATCCTCTAAAAATTCATTGACTTTTAGAGAGTGGAAGGGAGGGAAGGCAGGGGGACATAGAGAAACATCGATGTGAGACACACATCAATTGGTTGCCTCCTGCGTGTGCCCCGACCATGGCCACGGATTAAACCTGCAACTGAGGTACGTGCCCTAGACCAGGAATCGAATCTGAGACCTTTTAGTCTGCATGCCAATGTTCTAACTAGTGAGCAGAACCGGCCAGGGCCATTGTTATTATTATAAAAGTAACAACAGCAGCTGCCATTCACTGAATCTCACTCTGTGCCCCAACTACGTATGGACCCTCCCCAGCTTCCCTCCATCAATTCCTTGCTACCCTCACACAGAATAGGTGTAATAAAATGAGGATTTCCAAAAATTCTTACCACATGGCCTCTAGCTTCTTCTTGGTTTCTAACTCCATACTCTCCTGAGATGAGCAAGCAGAAATACACTCCTAACAGCTTCAGATCTTACCTTTAGGTCATTCTTCAGGATATACTGGATATCTTGAAGGTTCAGAGTTCGGTCTTTCTGTCTGACCTGGATGCCTGACTTAACAATATCATAGTAAGGTTTTGGAAGCCTGAAGTCAGCTTCCAAATAATTTCCCACGACTATGGCTCTTTTAATAACTGAGCCATCTAAGCCATCCCAGGGTATGTTATCTGTTAAGGAAAGAGTCAGGAGTAACATTAAGAAATCAGGTGATATGGGGTGTCCTTGGTCAAGTCACTCAACCCCTTTAAACATTAATTTCTGTAGGAAAACGACTTGAAAGTCCAATCACAAATGAGAGACCACTTTCCCCATTTACCAGGGGAATCCCTGCTGTAGAAACAGGAAAAGGTAGTCACAGAGTCATGTACACATGAGCTTCCCACTGGCAGACCTGGGGACCACAGGAATATTTCATGGGTCACCAATGCATTCCACTCCTCTCACAGAAGGTGTGATTTTGCCTCTGGGACTGTAAACACTGCTAACTGGGGTTTTATGGGTGTGTGTGTGTGTGTCCCTCTCCCAAAGGATTCCTTCTGTCTGCAGGTACTGATCATGTCTTTAAGTGACACTGATTATATATACAAGGAACCTGGGTGTGTTTAACTTCACAGTTTACTTCTCAGAGCCCAGTCTTCCTCACTCATTTTCAAATTCTTCAGGGGCTCCTATATTCAGTTTAAAAACTTTTCTTGGATTAAATGCATTACCACTGACAAGCTGATAGAGAGGCTTTGCTGAGTCTTAACAGGTTAAAAGAGGAAGATTTCTCTGAGGTTGTTTTATATCTTCCATAAGCAGAAAAAAGTTTTCTTGAAGAAATCTTTTTTCTATATCCTGCATTTTCATCAAACTAGGTAACTCTTGAGGGGGGAGAGAGAGAGAGAGAATCCAACCTAAGAATAGGGACTTTGGTCAAGTCAATGTCCTCTTTGATCTACCTGTTAAAATCTCCTGTATGATCACAGAAAAGCTGTAGATGTCTGACTTCACTGTGACTTCCTTCTGCAAAATAACTTCTGGGGCAGCCCACCTGTACAGCTGGGCCGGGAGGGGGACTCGAGTCAGGTCCCTGTGTACATCTCTGTCCTGGCTGCAGAAGGAAACACAAGGTAGGGCTCATGTCTTAAAGGATCATTGCCATCACCACACAGTACATTTGTAAAAACATTAGCCTCTGCAGACCAGCAACCTCCTGCGCTTCTGGAAACTCAGCTTGACCCTGAGCCAACCCTAGCTGCCTGCTATTCCAACACCTGCAATTCTTCACCATTCCTACCCTGTGGGCCTGCCCATCCTCCCACCACACCTGGCTGATCTCTCCTGCTCACTTACTCCCCTCATGTCTCAGGAACCCTCTTTCAGTTTCTCCAACATGCCAAGCACATCACCACTTCTGGTCTTTGCATTGGTGGCTTCTTCTGCCCAGTATGTTCTGCCCACAGACGCCAGAGTGACTGCTGCTTCTTGTAACCGAGGTATTAGCTTGAAAATCACCTCTTCAGAGAGGCCTTCCTGACTACCTACTTTAAAGTAGTCCTGCTTTACTGGTTTCAGAGCAGTTATTATCTTAATTTCTTACTCATTTATTTATTGTTTATTACCTGTCTTCCCTCCACCAGAGTCAGCTCCACGAGGGCAGGCAGGCACCTTAGCTGTCTTTTTATCGCTGTATCCAACTTACACCAGGGCCTCAGCACTTACTTTTGACTAAGACTCTGTCAAGACCCTCCTGAAGCCCAAGCTGCTTTATCTAAGCCGTCTGGGACCCCTCCAGCTCCTTCTGGTTGCTCCTTTTCTGAACTCTGCTCTCTTGGGAATGAGCCCTCCCAGTTCAGCACTAAAGGCTGGCTTCTTCTGCCCAGTATGTTCTGCCCACAGACGCCAGAGTGACTGTTGCTTCTTGTAACCGAGGTATTAGCTTGAAAATCACCTCTTCAGAGAGGCCTTCCTGACTACCTAATTTAAAGTAGTCCTGCTTTATTGGTTTCAGGGCAGTTATTATCTTAATTTCTTATTTATTTATTGTTTATTATCTGTCTTCCCTCCACCAGAGTCAACTCCACGAGGGCAGGCAGGCACCTTAGCTGTCTTTTATATCGCTGTATCTCAACTTACACCAGGGCCTCAGCACTTACTTTTTTTTTTTTTTTATAAATATATATTTTTATTGATGTCAGAGAGGAGGGGAGAGGGAGAGAGAGAGGTGGAAACATCCATGAGGACAGAGAATCATGGATGGGCTGCCTCCTGCACGCCCCCTACTGGGGATCGAGCCCGCAACCGGGGCCTGCACCCTGACGGGGAATCAGGCACCCCACCCCCCAGCTGTATCCACTTACACCAGCCCGTCAGCACTTACTTTTGACTAAGACTCTGTCAAGACCCTCCTGAAGCCCAAGCTGCTTTATCTAAGCCGTCTGGGACCCCTCCAGCTCCTTCTGGTTGCTCCTTTTCTGAACTCTGCTCTCTTGGGAATGAGCCCTCCCAGTTCAGCACTAAAGGCTCACAGATTTGCTTGAATAACTCAATTTCCCCCTGGCCTGGGTAGCTCAGTTGGTTAGAGCATCGTCCCTAAATACCAAGGTTTCAAGTTCGATCCCCATCAGGGCACACACAAGAATCAACCAATATGCCAGAACCGGTTTGGCTCAGTGGATAGAGCGTCGGCCTGCGGACTCAAGGGTCCCAGGTTCGATTCTGGTCAAGGGCATGTACCTTGGTTGCGGGCACATCCCCAGTGGGGGGTGTGCAGGAGGAGGCTGATCAATGTTTCTCTCTCATCGATGTTTCTAACCCTCTATCCCTCTCCCTTCCTCTCTGTAGAAAATCAATAAAACATATTTTTTTTAAAAAAGAATCAACCAATAAATGCATAAATAAGTGCAGCAACAAATCCATTTTTCTCTCTCTCTTTCTAAAATCAATAAATAAAATTTATTTTAAAACAGCAAACTCAACTTCCCAATCAGACTTCTCAAGAACTAAAACAGAGCGTCCTAAATGTATTCTGAGCCAATGAGAGTCTTCAGAGTGAGGTCAGCGCTGAGTTCTACACCCAGCTATCATGAGCATCAAATGAGATCATGTGTGGGGAAACACTCTGTGAAGCATAAAACACTATGGAAGTTAGAAATTAGTATTAATATTGCAGTAGGCATTTGGTAAAGACTTGATGACCGCTGGTTGATAATTAAAAATTAAGTTTTTTAAAAGCAAGTGACCAGCAATTCTTTGCTGGCCTGGCAAAGAATAGATTATATAGGATGGGATGTGTTTCTCAGACTTGGGACAAACTTCCCTAAATAATATTCTTTCTAGCAGAGCTTTTGATAGATAGCAGTGAGTTCAGGAAGCCACAAAGTTACAAATGCTGATACTGACTTTTAGTGGCATTGCTAATAAGTTAGATGTGGCCTGGTATAGTGCGAACAGCATGGATACACATGCCAATATTATATTAGTATCACAGGAAAAGCAATGGTGTGTTTCATGGTCAGAGATATATCCTGAGGACTGGCACACTTGGCTCTTTATCTGCAGGAAACAGTCACCTAGCTGGTCAGACCTCTCAAGCTTGTCTAAGGCTCTAGCAGGAGACAAGTCACTTACAACCAGGATTTATATTCTTTCTCCTTTACTTCCTTCCACTCACCTTCCTCTCTTACAATCCCTCTTCCTTCTCTGTTAAAGCTAGTTGAGGGAGGGTTTCTTTTCTGGCTGTCATTCTAGGGCAGTTACTTTTCTGGGCTTCAGCCCTGACATCATTAAAAGTACATCTGGCTGCGGCTATTTGATACCACTGGCAAGGTCAAGTTCAGCTCTTAAGAGTCCATTAGGAAGGAGTCAAAGAACAGGCGAGACTGCTGTTATCATTTTTACACCAAGATGGAGGGTACCCTTGACAATGACATTCAACAAACTGACCTGCTCAAATAGAGTGTCTCCAAAAATAAGTGTGGGACTAGAAGCTATTTTGGATTCCTGTAGAATCAACTGGTGTCATCAGCTGTCAAAGAAGAGTACACTGCTATGGACACAACTACTTGCTGACCGACATTTCTGTCTGAAGTTCCATTTTGAGATCAATTAGCCCAGTGGTTCTCAACCTTCCTAATGCCGTGACCCTTTAATACAGTTCCTCATGTTGTGGTGACCCCCAATTTCATTGTTACAAATTGAACATAATTAAAGCATAGTGATTAATCACAAAAACAATATGTAATCATATATATATATGTGTTTTCCGATGGTCTTAGGTGACCCCTGTGAATGGGTCGTTCGACCCCCAAAGGGGTCGCGACCCACAGGTTGCGAACCACTGAATTTAGCCCAAAAGAGAACTCATACCTTCCTACCCAGTTGCCTTCCAGACCCTCCCTCGACCCAGCTCCTCAGTGCATCTCACATTTCCCTTCTATTTTGGCTCCTCGGTCACCACCAGGCCCTGCCCTATGGCCTTCTAGTTCGTCTTCCTCCGATCCATCCGCCCCTACAGCCACAGCTGGATAACCACACCATCTCTTCACCTCTCTGGGCTTCTGTTTCCTCATCTACACAAGGGCAGGTTAGGCTGGGCCTCTCCAAAGCTCCCTTTCACGCTAGGATTCACATCTCCGTGGAGAGCTCAACAGCAGATGGCGCTCCATCACTGGCAAACAGCTTGGATTCTGTCACAGCCTCCCTGAGAAGCCTCTGCCATCAATAGCAAATATGTCCAAACCCTTCCGCTTCCACTGCTCCTGAACACACAGCCAAAGTGATCAACCCTATCCTAAACCATTTCCAGTTTTCCCTTCACCTACACTCATCCATTCCCTTAATAAACACGTACTAAGTACTTACTGGGTGGCAGGCCCCGCCCAGCGCTGGGTGCTGAATATGAACAAGCCATGGTCCCGCCCTCTCAGAGCCTGCCATCTGGTGGGGCAGACTCACTTGACTGTGGAGAAGTGAAATAGGCAAAGTGCTGTGGGGAGAGGGCTTTAGTATAGGCCTCGTGGGATGTGGTGGGAGACTGTCTGAAGTGAGTTTAAAAAGATAAACACTGCCCTAGCCGGTTGGCTCAGTGGATAGAGCATCCGCCTGTGGACTGAAAGGTACCAGGTTCGATTCCAGCCAAGGGCTCATGCCCAGATTGCAGGCTTGATCCCCAGTAGGGGCCGTGCAGAAGGCAGCCAATCAATGATTATCTCTCATCATTGATGTTTCTATCTCTTCCTCCCTCTCCCTTCCTCTCTTAAATCAATAAATATATTTTTTTAAAAAAAGATAAACACTGAAATAGCAGGCTGAAAGTGGCTTCAGAGGGCCAGGCAGGGAGTGGGAAGCGATGAGGTTGGCCATGTGGGCGGAGCCCCACCCTGGAAGGCTTCCACACCCTGCAAAGTGCCTAGACTTAATCGTGTAGGTAATGGTTTTAAAAAAGGAAAGGTTTAACTGGGATTGACCATGGACCAGATCTGAAGCTGAGCAGCTCAACTGGAGATAGCGCTCTGGCCTCCACCGGTTCCCACATGGAAAACTGCTCCAGTCCCCCTAACTGTCCCTGCTTCTCTCTTGTCCCATCACGGCCCCTGCACACGCAGGAGCGAGGGGATCTTCTTCTCTTTTCTCGTTAATCCTCACCTGAGGCTACTTTTCCATTGATATTCTTAGAGAGAGCGGAAGGGAGGGGGAGAGACAGAGAAAAGAGAAACATCAATGTGACAGAGACACATGAGACATCAATTGGTTGCCCTGCATGCGCTGACGAGGGCCAGGGAGGTACATGCCCTTGACCAGAATCAAACCCGGGACCCTTCAGTCCTTGGGCAGATGCTCTATCCACTGAGTCAAACCAGCCAGGACAATGAGGGTGTTATTTTTGTCACTGCCTTCCTCACTGCACTGAGACCCTTGAGGGCAGGGAACACCCCAGTGCCCCTCTGGGCCAGGACTGTAAGGCTGAGCACCCATTGCCTTCCTCTCCTTCCAGAATGCACAGCTATGGCCTGTTTCCCAGCCTCCCTTCAACTGAGAAGGTGACTGGACTCTGGCCACTCCAAGCAGGAAGCAGTGACATACCCACTAAAGCAGTGGTTGCCAACCGGTGGTCCGCGGACCACTAGTGGTCCATGAGGTCCAAAAGGTTGGTGACCGCTGCACTAAAGCCCACTGTGTGCCCTCCATGCTCTTTCTTGCTCATTGACCAGTGATGCAGAAGACATGGTGGGGGACTGAGGCCTGGGTGGTGGCAGGGCCAAGGATTGGAGGAACACGGAACACAGTGAGTGTCCCCCTCCAACACACACTAAACTGCATTGTGAGTGAGAAACACACCTTTTGTGTGCCCTCCATGCTCTTTCTTGCTCACTGACCAGTGATGCAGAAGACACGGTGGGGGACTGAGGCCTGGGTGGTGGCAGGGCCACGGATTGGAGGAACACGAAACACAGTGAGTGTCCCCCTCCAACACACACACTAAACTGCATTGTGAGTGAGAAACACACCTTGGCTGTCTTAAGCCACTGAAAATTCTAAAGTGGACAGTTAGAGCGTTTACACACGCTGGCTAATCGGTGCTCCTGCTTGTTAAATGGTTATTAAAATGAGAATGTCCTGAGCACAAGTAACTGTCCCAAAGCGCCTCTAATCTTGGCAGACAGAGCATGTGGGAAACCTCTTGCCCCACTGATGGACAGTTCAGCCCACCAATGGGGAGAAGCCCCGCCCACATTGGAAGTCATGATCCAGGTTCACCTACCTTTCCAGCATGTACTCCAGGTTGGTCAGCCTCGCTTCCCATGTGGAGACGATGTGGATGGCATAGGAGCTGAGGGCGCGGTGGATAAAGCCCCAGGAATGCAGGTATCGCAGGGCGTCGGAGATCTGGAGCAGCAGGTGCACGATCTCCTCCATGTGCAGCAGGGGGAACTCGGAGCGCTGCAAGCAAGAGATAAGCTGGCCAGGAACAAGTAACTGTCCCAAAGCCCCTCAGGGACTGAGCCCCCTTTGTTTTTTAGCTTCCAAAGTCTTTTCAATTGATCGCCACTACTACTCAGTGCTCCCATTTTACAGGTGGAGAACCTAAAGCTTGGTGGGGCTCAGTGACTGGCCCAAGGCCCCACTGACCCAGGACCCCTGACACCAAACCTGGGCTCCTTTCCCTCAGCTCAGCTGCTTCACACCATGAAAAATGAGGAGAAAGTTCTCAAAGCCTGGCAAGGGCATCCAGGGTGGGCTCACCACCACCAGCAATGAACCTGCCCTGCCCCTCAGCCCTCGCCCAAACCTGTGCTGCTGGGAGAACCTGGAACCTTAAAGGACCCATCCAGTCCCTACTCCAGTCAGATGACCGAGAACGTTCCTCCTAAGAGCACAGAAAATCACTTCCACCACTGCACCCACATGATTAAAGTCATACCAGGTCTCTCCTGAAGAGGTGGCATTTCCAGTTAACGCCCGCACCCAAGGAGAGGAAAGGGAAACCAGGACGCTAGCAGGAGGTCCTCGGGCAGGAGGGATGGCTTTGGGGAAGGGCCCTTCCCGGAGGGTCTCTGCTCATTCCTGCCCAGGGTCTTTAGAACAAAGTCATGGAGGGGAAATGAATCTCTAGGACCTCTCTGAAGCCACAACTCAGCCCAAAGCATACTTGTCAGGAAATCTGTGGGCCGGGGAAGATGCACCTGCTCCCAGGAAATCAAAACAGTGAGAAGGGATTGATGAAGGCCTGTATATAAACAGGCCTTTCTCTATAGCCAAGGTCCTGCAGGGCACAAGTGGAAATACAGGAAAGTAAGACCAGTGGCTATTTGAATAATTAGCTAGAAATGTGTCTGTGTCTTCTGGGTCTGCTAAGCCCTCAGACCCAGAAGGAGGACTAACAATAATAAAGTCGCAGTAGGTCCAATGCACTTAGCCCTAAATGGTGCATTATAGAGCCAACACGAAGTAGAAAATTAAGATTTATCTTCCAGAATGAAAACAAATTACAAAGAAATAAATGTCTTACTGTTGTGGTTTTTTAAGATTTATTTTCCATGCATGCACAGCTGCACAAATGGGAGCTCTCCGGCTCAGGCAGGGGAAGAGGGCAGGGAGAAGTGGGAGGGCAGCCAGGGAAAAGCCCATGGAAACAGCCACTCACCCGTTCATGGAGGACACTAAATAGTGTGCCGATGGTGATGCGCTCGTAAACCAGGCGGGTCTTCTCCAGGTCCTGGGACAGGCACACAGCCATCAGCTGCAGCAGGTGGCGGTGCCGCAATTTGCTGCAAAAGATGCTTCAGGTGAGGCAGAGGGAAGAAGGACATGCAAAAAAGGGCGCTTTCCTTTCTTCAGGGCCCCCTGAATACATTCTAAACAAATACCATTTTGCACACAATGCTTTTCTAAGAAAACAGGATGGGGTGGGTGGGGTTGTCTGTTGGAATCTGTGGCCTCTCACTGATCAGCTCCTTAGGGCTGAGAGTCATCAATGACAATGTCACTAAGAGCTGCTGAGCAGTTATCAGACATCATCTCCATCCTAACAACCACCTGCAAGACATGTATCGTTTAGAGATGAGGAGACCAAGATCAGGGAGAAGCCCAAGTACATGCTGTGCCTGAGCCTTCCAGCCTTGACATACTTGCGGCAGGAGTTTGACCTTGCCCGGAAAGAGCTCGACGAGCCAGGGTCCGTTCCATGGCCTCCACAGCCCCGGTGCGAACCACAAATCGAGCTCCTGCCTCAGCAAGAGCTGAAGGACTTACCCTGGGGCCACATAAGGTACTAGACCCATAGGTGGGCCTCAATAGCAGACACACAGTTCCTCAGACATGTGGATCTCATGCACACCCAGTTCTATGAAATCAGGACAGCACATGTCCTGATGGGTCCAGGGCTGAAAACGGGCCAGGCCTCGGGGGCTGTAGCAGGAGAGCCAGTGGGCGTGGAGGCTGGACCATCAGAGAGACCGGTTATAGGGAGTCAGTCAACTGACAGAACTGACCCCCTCACCACCACCTCCACCACTCCTCAGGCTTTTCATTAATTCCTCTTTTTTTTTTTCTTGGCAGCTCTTGGATGTCAAATCAACCAACAGTCAGGAAATGCTGAGGCTGAGGGGAGTGGTCTCCACATCCCAGGGAGCCCTGAACAGCCCTGACCCTGCGTCTGTAAAGAGCCTGGGCCTGTGCCGCCCTTGGGCTTCCTGCTCACCTGCTGTGCTCCTGCTCAGCAATGAGCAAGTCGGCCAGCCGCAGCTTGCTGCAGTGCGGGTGGGTGGGGAGATGCAGCTCCTTCACTGTGACCCTGCTCCCCTTCCACACCAGGCTGCAAGGGCAGGACAGAGTTGGAGCAGAAGGCGGTGAGTAGCCAGTTCTACAGTGAGCAGTTCCCCAGCCAGAGACCAGGTAGAGTTCACACAGAACCTGCGAAGCCCCTGTGCAGTCTTTCCTCCCTCCCTCCCCCGCCAC